TTTTTGTAGGCATTATGTCATTGTAATATTAATAATCTATTTGTGTGTGAATCGTAATAGTATTTCATGCTACATGTTTCAGGCAATGGCAAGTCTTGACAGCGATGCAAAATATAAAATAAAATAAATAAAATATACAACATTTGATATAGCGTAATACATAGCTAACATAATTTTTAAGCCACTCTAAAGCGCTTTACAGTACATAGATATACAATTTTAATACAGTCAATACAATTAGCATATATATTAATCAATACAATATTGAGGAATTTGCAGGAGCTGCCTTATCAGGCGCTAACTACTATGCCACCTGGCTAATATCTCCCTATGTGTGTATGCCTGTATGTGTTCTGGAGATGTATTGTGTTCTGTTTGTAGTGGGACCGTGTTTCCACGGTATCATTTATAGTGCCACCTCACTTGAATGCTACAGCACAGATACCGCAACACCCACCTCAGACCATTTTATACTACACCTGGGTTGTTGGAGTTGTGTGGGCAGGAGAAAAACACTTTCTCTAATATTCGATGCGTACGGCGACTTCGGGGATCGAACCCCAGCCACCTGCTTGAAAGGCCGGAGTGTTAACCACTCGACCAATCTGAAAATGCATCATTTTGAAATATTTATGGTGTCTGATGTCTGATATTCTGAAAAATACATTTTGTAATATATATCAATATTCATTAAAGATTAGCTTTCATGTATTATACATGGTTATAAATGCCGTTAACTTGATGACGTAATATATCTTTTCACTTCAGTATTATACCTGTGTAATAGATATCGCCTCCCGCACACTAGGTATCAAATCTATCGGAAGTATAAAAGGAGATAAATTCCCTATATCTATACAGGTGAATAATTTCAATAGCTCTACAGGTAAACATGCAGGTTTTGTTACGTTTGAATACTGAAGAATTTAATCTAAATTTCTCCATGTCTCCAGACTGTCTTACCATATATACTGTAATTAGCACCCTTTCACTTATAAACACCCCACCCCTCCCTTTGGCATTTATTGAAATGATAAAAACACTGTTTTTTCCAACACACACTAGTACTCAGTCCTGACCAGCTCTGGTTAACAAAATATATATAGTGCTATATGCTTAATATAAGTAAAGCATAATACGAAGATGAAGTTAACTCATTCACCCCTGTAGATATGTTTGAATTCTTCCAAATCAAAGGTTGGAATATTTCATTATGACATTTCAGGGGTAAATGAGTTAAACTATAATAAGAAACTGCAATGTTATGTTTAAATCATGTTCTATGTATAGATCGAAGCAATAAAAAGTTCCACCTTGCGGTGCTGATTATAATTAAATGTGTACGACAGTTATGTACATGTATACGTCACCTTTACACACATGATCAGCTGTCATAACTTACGTACGCTTTGCTGCATCTTAATAAGCGCTCTTTCAGCAAAGTTTTCAAGCACCCAGGGTACTAATTAGGACAAATACAGTATTAATAATAGCCCACCGTACCACAGGTATCTGACATTCCTGTACTAGTAGTCAGCTGTGGTGTTTATTTGGCACTTAATAAAACACAATACTTCCATCACTGGCTTACGATTCTCCAGACCCAAACAATTCAAAGTCTTATTAGCATCTTATAGTGATACAAATATTTATTATATCATTTTGAAGTGTAAATAATGTTAAAAAAATAATTGGAAAAAGTGCTCTGAATAATTAGTGTAAAAACCAAAGTTGACAATCCTATGTAATTTATAATTACATTAATGATTCCTGTACTACTGTCAATTTTTTTTAATTATATGCATTCAAAACTTTTTTTTCCCCTCAAAAACTCATATGAGAAAGAGGGAAGATGAATCCTCATTATATAAACACAAAAATCATACAGTGGAGTTCTCCAGTTTTTGTCTGCAGTGGGATAGGGATCCCCAAAGCACCCCGTTAAACTTTAAACTCATTCACCCCTGAAATTTCATAATGAACTATTCCAACCATTGAATTGGAGGAGTTCAAATGTGTGTTCAGGGGTAAATGAGTTAAAACATGCATACTGGTAAAACATATAAGTTCAAATGTCGTAAGTTATCAAATGTTATTATCACAGGTAAAATAAATGGTGTCATATCAGACTGAGCACATATTTTTTTTGTTTTGAAGACTAAGAGTTAGGAATGCTTTCAGTTATTGAATATTTATTGTAAGATTATCTCCGTTTAAAAATGTTCAAAAATCATTTCAGTTGAAGATTGATGCAAGAGTTTTTACCATTTTCAATTAAAGATTTTGATTGTTTGAATTTAATTCGCAAACACGCAATTATTATATCATAGATTTTGATAGCATTAAACATATTCTTACAGGGCGTATACTTTACATTAACATTTAAACTGTACGCCATAGGGGCTTATTGACTTGTAAATCTCTATGTCACATTAAATGACCACCTAGTAGTGACTGTACACTCGAAGCAACTACGGTATCGTTTTCAAGAAATCGAGTCTCTGGTTTAGTCAGGTATTAGGGACATTCGATTCACTCTGACAAAATATCTAAACAATTATCTCCTTACCTATATCATGTGTACTATAAACGGTGATCACGAAATGAAAGAAAATGTTTTTTATGGTGATTAAAATGCTTTGGATTCTTAGAATGGTCTTTTTAAAGGCTTATATATAGCTTTAATGCGGACATTCCTGTTGGAATAATTGTGTAAGGTGGAGTTTCTTACTTTAAGTGGTATCTTCCCGAGATCTATAGGATCAGAATTACTCATTCATGTATTTACAAATGACATCTATACAATTGTATTGTAATTTACTTGGTGACTTGATCTGGGACTAATGATTCCTAAATACTTCAATCTAAATTATCTGTAAACAACTATCTCTATACATTATATATAGAGCATTGGACCGTCTTCAATTTTTTTCTCTTGGGCAAAGCTATTTTATGATTGTTTTGGTATTGACCACATCTTTGGATTTGTATATTTCAGACTGAATGCTTAAATTTGCTGTCTTGGGTTGTTTTTTATATAAAATTTATTTATTTAAGAACAATTATGAAACAGGGTATTTCAACTTATATCAATCACTCTTGTTGGCCCGGATGTTAGCGCGTGGGGGGTCTTAGTATGGGAGGAAACCGGAGTACCCGGAGAAAACCCATGTGGTCGGGCAGGTGACCCCAACCTTTTCACTTCCGATTGGGGAATCAAACCCCGGCCGCCTTGGTGAAGAGCAAGTGCGCTATCCACTACACCACCCGACCAGATTGTTGTTTTTATTGGTTCACAAAACAGTTTCTACAAAATACAAACTTATTTTGTAACATACCATATTTGAAACATACAATGTACATCTCAAAATGGTGACAGAGCATATATCATACATGCTTCTCGTGTTTACACCTTCATATATAATACACAAAAATATCAAATCACAAGATATCTTTATAGATTGTGCATTATCTCTCTTATAAAGATTGTGTGAGCTGGAGCTTCCATAATTATAACAACGATGCCACTTATTTAAAAAAAATATCTCGCTCAATATTTTGAGTAGACAGTGTAATTCACACGAATGCTAGCGAAACTTTCAAGGGTTAGGTGTGATACACACACAATTTACCTCCCGTGAAGCTATTAACATGGTTTTTATACAGTTTATCATAAAATAAATATATTTTTTTATTGCAATAACATATTAATTTCTTTCGTGGATGTCTGTTTATATGTTTTAAGCTATATATATATGCTAGCCATACAAAATTATACATTAAAACTCTGCCATTTATCTCTTCACACAGATATATTTCTTAAACTTGTGAACTTTTAAAAAATGTTTTGTAAATGAATGACTTTAACTTTTAACAAAAGCTGTTTCATTCAAAACCTGTATTATCCCGGAATTATGTTAAATTCAAAATTGAAATGGCTTTTAATATCTGGGGAAAAAAAAGAGAAACACAGATTTATAGTAATTAATATATAACTGGCCCATAGAAATAGGTGAAAACTGGAAAAAAGACTCTTCGTGTGTTTTGCCTTCCTAATAGCTTTTTCATGGATATATATTGGAAGTAATTTATCAATATTTATTTGAAGTATCTTCATTAATGTATATGATGACATTCCAGATATTTCGCCGATACATTAAAACGATCCATTTCAGTACCCAACTACAATAAAATGACAGTAGGAATGACACGTTACAATCTAAGGCTTCAGTTTGATTGAAAAAGAATATGTAGATGTGTATAAGGACAAAGTTCACACGTATTAATTTGGTTTACGTTTATTTACACTGACTTGTGTATTAATCAAAACGGTTCCAATATATTTTGTTATCATACCTATGCTTCATTGAACTGAACAAGAATTTCTATATCCTGAAGTTGTATTTTTCAAAAGATTTTGTGAACAGATTGATTAATGAAATTTTGTCCTAGATCAAAACAGTTATGATTTGAATTGATTTTTCGGAATTCAGTTCAAATTTAAGAATAGAAAACTACACATACATAAATAACATGTCTTGTTTCTTGATGAATGCAAGTATGATAAATGTTATTGAGATGAATACCAGGTGCTTTCCATGGCCACCTCTAAGCAATATGTTCATCAAACAATTTGCAAATGCCTGGAATTTTTCAAGACAAAACTTTGATTTGATATTTGAATTATATGTCTGATGTTTTTCTAGATCTCTGATGTTTCTATTTTAAGTAACATTATTTTTCACCTGTTAAGTAAAATAATTCTGTTAACCTTAAGCTAGTGTTTCACCTGTTAGGTAATGATTGTGTTTCACATATTAATTAACCTTGTGTTTCACATGTTATATAAACTTGTGTTTCACATGTTAAGTAAGATTGTGTTTCACACATTAATTAGAAACCTTGTGTTTAACATGTTAAATAAACTTGTTTTTCACATTTTAGGTAACCTTGTTTTTCACATGTTAAGTAACCTTGTTTTTCACATGTTTTGTTTACAGTAAATGTGGTGGAAGCATTACAAGAGTTCTGGCAGATGAAACAGGATCGTGGGGCAGACCTGAAGAATGGAGCCCTAGTTGTGTACGAGTCCCAACCCTCAGCCACGCCTCCCTATGTGTGTTATGTCTCACTTCCTGGGGGAAGCTGCTTCGGTAGTTTTCAGGTTCGTATTGTATGCCGGCTTTAACATGATCAGTAAATGTCCAATTACTGATTTATTGACCCATTCACCAACTTGCTAATGCTTAAATTGAATTCTACAGTGGCGGATCCAGAGGGTTTTTTTGGGCTTCAGGAAACCAGAATTTTCTTTAAAAATCACATATTTTCACCATTTTCCTCAATTTTTCCCCACATGGAAACCCCCCTACAAATTTTGAAACCCCCCCACCCCCCAGATAGGTCTCTGGATCTGCCACTGTTCTATATAGGAAAAGACATGCATAGATGAAATTCAGGCCATCTAAAACCCTTCCTCAAATTTTCAGGTATTAAATCTTACTTATGTTCTCTGCACCCCTGGAATATGTCAAGATCATTGCAGGCATGAAAATAGGGAAACCATAATAGATTTATGGTACCAGTGCTAGAAGTCCCACCCTTTTTGAAAATTTTGATCCAAGGCAGACCATGATATTTAATTATAAACCAGTATCGATCTATGAAAAAAAAATGAGAAAAAAAATATTACCCAGAATGACACAGAAACCCAAGAAGGTAGTTTCCCTGATCAGAAAGAAAACAGTCGGAGTCCCAGATAAATAAATCTGCAATCACAGACCATGCCACGCAGAAAAAAACATGTGATTGACCAAGTGTTAACAAAGCGTGGCTGAATTGAGTCATTTCGGTACATATATAACAACTATTGTACTAGTCATCGAAACGTCACAGAACATTTTATCGGTTGTGTATAAAGAACTTCTCATAATCCATACTTACCAACCCGAAGATAATGTTTAGAAAAAAGTTACCCAGTTAACTTTTGTAACAGTAAAATTAAATATGCATGGCCAGAATTGGATTCAAACCCCGGACCAGTTGAGTTACCTGGTCTTCAATAATCAACACAGTCCAATTCTGCTACACATATATATTTTTCTTGACGTATTTTCAATATCAGTCTGTAAGGAAGAAACCTTGAAATTAAATCTGCAATTTAGCAAATTTAAAGGACATTTTGATCAAAGGAGTTGAACAATTAGTTGTTAAAATATGCAGAAAATTTGTTAACAGCTGACCAAGTTTGTTTTAGAACTAGGTGGTAAAAGATTTTTTTTTTTTTTGCTGACTGTTTTTCGGTTGAATAACTACAGGAAATCCTATTGACATTCATCGTGTGGTAATTAATGAAATAACTCACCCAGTATTTATTCCCGTTAAAGGTAATTATATGATAATCAGGTCTAATGGAGGCCGTAATTATCTTCTGATTGCCTTGAGACAAATTTCCTTTAACTTATATGATCGTTAAAGCAAAAAAAGGGAGGTAATTGTCGGTTGTTTATTTTTAAAGTACATTTATGTATGTCTAGATTTAAATGATTGTAAACGGTAGCTTTGTACAGCCTTTGTTCTGTGGTGGTAAACAGTATACCTTATAACTATAAAATGCCTTTGGTGTCGTTTAAAACTTGTTTTTATGCTTTGTAATTAGATTGTAATGTTCAGTGTACGTATTGCATTGATAATTTGAGATTGGAGTCGTTGATAAACTAAAGTCAATGTGTGGCTTGGCCATACAGCAACACCTTGATATAATGCCTCCTGTTTACAGCAAAACCTTGATATAATGCCTCCTGTTTACAGTAAAACCTTGATATAATGCCTCCTGTTTACAGTAAAACCTTGATATAATGCCTCCTGTTTACTGTAAACATTTGATATAATGCCTCCTGTTTACAGTAAAACCTTGATATAATGCCTCCTGTTCACTGTAAAACCTTGATATAATGCCTCTTGTTTATAGTTTAACCTTGATATAATGCTTCCTGGTTATAGTAAAACCTTGATATAATGCTTCCTGTTTATAGTAAAACCTCGATATAATGCCTCCTGTTTACTGTAAACATTTGATATAATGCCTCCTGTTTACAGTAAAACCTTGATATAATGCCTCCTGTTTACTGTAAAACCTTGATATACTGCCTCCTTTTAACAATAAAACCTTGATATAATGCCCCTCATTTACAGAAAAAAACTTCATTTGATGCCTCTAATTTACAACAATACAATGGTATAATGCCCTCCTTTAGAATAAAGTCTTTGATATTATGCTTTTCAGTTTATTTGCCGCTTCACTTCATGTCAAAGTATTTCAATGTTTCTCTCTCCTTTTCTTAACAATTCCTTTATCGCATTCAGCTTATATTGCCAAACCTTTTTATAACATCAAAATGGTGGCAGTATATCAAGGATTTACTGTACATGTGCATATACCAATTATTTCAAATACAGTCTTAATAAACTAATGCCACAGGGACTGACATAATGCAGGAAAAGCATTTTACACAGGTTCTTGGTTTCTGGTTTGTGCAGGTTTCCCTGTTATACAGGGTTTTCTTTAGACAAGTTGCTCAGTCTAAACTGACCAACATTTACTGTGAACTCATGTACATCTGTACAGAAAACTCTTTTCCTTTCCTCTCCTTTTACTCTTTTTGATGGTGTCTTCATGGGAACCCAATCAAATTTTGACTTTATTCACAAACAATTTAAGTATTAAACGCATCGCAAAGTTTCAAACTGTACAAATCGCTCACTCAGTCATAGCTTGACAAAGGGACCAGTCGGTCTTGGAATGTTGCGATATGTTTAATACGCACATTGTTTGTGTATAAAGTAAAACTTTGATACAAATACAGAGTTGACAGTTTTCAAATACTGTAAAAAGAACCTAGATGAAAATTGGATTTATAGAGGGTTCATAAGCCATCTTCGCTAGCCAAGTGTTCGCTTCGTATACACTCCATTGTAAGTGGAGTGTAAACGAAGCGAACACTTGGCTAGCTAAGATGTAATTAAGCATGTGATTCTTTTTTTTTTTAATCATGATTGTGGCTTTGATAAAACTTGAAAAGAAAAAATTATCTTGTGTTACTTTTATGGAAAATTATAAGATGAAATGAACAAAAAAATATCAGCTAAAGAACTCTTGAGTGCAAAATGCAACAGGGCTGGACCAGGAGTTAGAACCATTACATTACTATGAGCTTCCTGCTTAACAGTAGAACCCTGGTCTAGTTGTACTCCATTTATATCCAGGATTTTGAAATTAAGGGGAGGTTACCGTATGTAAGAAAAACTACAGTTGAATTCTCTATAGTGTTTTGCCCGCACTAGTGTAACAGGGATCCTGAATGTTCTCTGTCTGAAAACAAACGTTCTATAGAATATATTGAGTGTCATTATTCTGTTATATTTACAGCATTGTCCCACGAAGGCAGAAGCCAGAAGGAGTGCCGCCAAAATAGCCCTGATGAATTCAGTATTTAACGAGCACCCGTCGCGCATGATCACGGACGACTTCGTGGACCACGCTGTCCATGATGCCGCTGGATCTTTCCAGGTGAGCTCTTTGGGTGACACGTTTCTAAAAATACATTCCTTTAAATCTCTATGTGTATTGGATTCAAAACTATTCAATAAACAATTCTGAGAGAACATTAATACTGGTACAGCGACACAATTGAAGCTGGCAAAGACGAAGGGTATTAGTGTAAAATTTAAAGTAGGTCACCGTATTTGACTTTTGACCTGACTTGAACTTAATTCATATAAAATCTAAAAACATAGAAGATGTATACTGGTACAAATGCATGTTAACTCATTCACCCCTGAAATTTCATAATGAACTATTCCAAAATAATTCTTCAGGGGTAAATGAGTTAAGGTAATGGAGTGGTTTATATGAGTATTAGATCAATGTGCATGCACTCTACATTGTAGTTTGATGATGGGATTTAAACTAATTTTATGTAACATGTAACAATACCACCCTCAAACCTAGGAGATATGTCTGCACACTTGAAATGAAGATTTTTTTCTCCAAAAGTTACGACTTTGTCCTTAATCCTTTCACCCCTACACAACTTCAGTAAACACTTCCATGCATTGATCTGGATGAGTCCATTATGGTCGATAGTGGTGAAAGGATTAAACAGTAAAAGACACATTTGATTGTTTGTAGAATTAAAGATTAAAAATTTAATTTCCCTTTCTTCCCCACAGGGAGCGCCGGAGCAGGCAGACAACCCAGCCACAGGGATTGGTGCTTTTCGCTTTATGTTGGAGGCCAATAAGGGCCGCACTATGTTAGAATTCCAAGAACTCATGACTGTTTTTCAACTTCTCCACTGGAACGGCAGTCTGAAGGCAATGCGTGAACGCAACTGTTCTCGACAGGAAGTGTTGGCACACTACTCGCACCGTGCTCTGGACGACGACATGCGCTCACAAATGGCACTCGATTGGATAGCACGGGAACAAGAAGTGGAAGGTGTCATCAGCCGCGAATTAGAAATCTCAGAAAAAGAACTGGAAAGTGCGAGATTAGCAGGACGTGAATTACGGTTCTTCAAGGAGAAGAGAGACATTCTAGTTCTGGCATTAAGTCAGATCGGTCCCCCAGAGAGCATGGCATGAAAAGATTATTGAGTCAAAATATATATAATATGCTTTTCATGAGAGATCATCTCTAAAGCTATCCAACATTTAAGGCATGTTAAGACAAAAAGTAATAATTGTGTGTACTCATTTTAAAGCATAGTTGTATTATGAAAGGTTGTCAAATTAGGAAATGATTTAAACAATATTTTTTTACGAACATAAATATGTACTCCAAATATATTTGATGAAAACTGTTGAGTAACCATTTTTTTTTTTTTATTAATACCAAGTAAACACTTTGGATACAAAATACCTTTTTCTACATTTGTATGTACATTATATTTAACTCATTCACCCCTGAAATTTTGTAATGAACTATTCCAATCTTTGTATTGGAAGAGTTCAAATGTGTCTTCAGGGGTGAATGAGTTAAGTTTTATTTATTAACTTAAAAGTTCCAAATGGATAGTTATACTATACGCTCCAAAGATAATGAGATTTTTTGTTAAGTGTTGTGTTACTACAAAATGAAGTTTGCCAAAAATCAACAGACTGTACCACCAATTTTATAAGATCTTTTGTTTTATATGAAGGTTTTCTTCTGTCATATACATCAGAATTGTAAATGTGACCATTTCTATGTATGTTCAGTTCTTAGTAACTGGAAAATAAATGTTTTGGGAAAGATGAAACTAAATACTTTGTCAGTTACAAGTGTTACAGTTAACTATGAGTAGTAAGAAGTATCTAATCATTGGTTTTAAAACATGTTAAGATTTTTTCTAAAATCATGCAAAATATCTATTTAATATATGTAACTATGGAATGTTTGCAATATATCCTGTAGATTAAATCGTACATGGAATCATTTTTATATTGGCTCATGGAAAGGATTAACATGTTCTAATCGGAAATTTGTTTTTAATTTACGGTACTCATATAAATGTTCATTTACCTAACTGCTTATTCCTAGTTGTGGATTTAAAATGCTCATTTGTTTTGGACAAACATTAATTGACATTTTGTTCTACATTTATATGGTTGTCATGCAGACATTACCGGCCACTGTAGGTCAGTCAAGCTTTACGATTGTTTAAACCAAAAACATGTTTTGGAAATTTAGAATTCATCATTTTAAGTCCGAAAATGCTTAAAAATATCAACCTTTATTTATCTTATAACAATTATGAAACAAGGTTCCCGACTTGCATTAACCATTTTTGTTGGCCCAGATAAAAGCACATTGATCAGGGTTTAATTCATTCACCCCTGAGGACACATTTGAACTCTTCCTATTCAAAGGTTGGAATAGTTCATTACGAAATTTCAGGGGTGAATGAGTTAATTATGAGAGAAAACCATAGTACATACTTACAACCAACCTATGTGGTTTGGATGATGACCAAATACCTTTTCAAGTCTGATCGGGGGGAATTGAACGTTAATCCCAGCATAAATGATAACAGTTTGTTGTTGTAACTATACAGGGGTTGAAAGTCATAAAAATTGTAAATATACAAACCCTTGCGTAGTTTATATAGTTGATACCGAAGTATTATATAGAAAGTATATTTTTATAGATAGATATATTTCTTTTCTAACAACTTACTCTCATACAGTGTTATGAACGATGTATTCTGAGCTCCAGTGATTTTTCTGTGCGTTTTTCCTGTCACCGCGTTGTATGTTCGTTTTGTTTCAACGTTCAGTGTCATCATACAATGTACAGCGTCAATTTGAAATACTCATGTCGAGTCTTTTAAAATGTGGAAACATTACAAAAACACTGTATATTTATCAATCTTATGCTATTTTTCTCATTTATTTATTTTGACTATTACTTATATGAAATGCATTTAAACAGGAAGTCAATTATAAAACTACAGAGAAATTTTCAAAGTCTTGATGTTTTAACACATTTTCCAGTGGGAATAAATTGAATTATACTTCTGATATTATCTAGCAAATAAGAAAACAAATTCAGGAGAAAAAAAAATCAATGTTTGAAGCCATTTGTGTGTGGATGAACAAAATGGATTCAAATAATTAATTACATGTATACCCTATAGAAATTCAAGATGACAGCAGTAACATTTCACATAACAGTCACTGGTTTATAAATTCAAAGTTTGTCTTCGCCATTTTTCTTTAATTTCTACAATTGATTATTATTATGTGATATATCATTTTTTTTTTTTTCCTCCAGTATCTCATTTAATACCGGTAATACATCTAACAGCTATCAACTTTTTGCAAAAGATTTTATTTTACCTGAAATACTTTTCTGAAAGGGCTTCCATATACCTGGTACATATATTCAAATTCTTGTACATATTTCCATATTTATAGCCAACATCTCATTTCTTCCATGTTATCTGTTGTGATTCAGAGGAAGTTTATAGTAATTTGGTGAAAAATGAACAAATTTATGTCTTTGATTGTGAGGGCCAGAGATATCTGTTTACAATGAAATGTTATTTGTCGGGTCAATTTCATAATTTTTCAGTGAAACAAATTTTATTCTAAGTAACTGTTCGTACTTTCATTATACATGTAATTCTTTATAATTTGTTGCAGAAGAATTTGAAAAAAAAAAAATCACATATGAACAGTTTGAAAACAATATTCCGGAGCTCTTTCTTAAAAAACTGTACTAAATAAGGAAGTTGTCATCTTTATATCAGCTTGTCAGTCTTTACATTGTCTTTATATCCTTATTGTAGCTTATCAGTGTTGTAACCAAGGTAACTAAGTGTTCATTATAGTCTCTTACCCCATGTGTTGATATACAGAAATGTCTTGGTTAAAGGAAGATATCTTTTAAATTAAGCTCTGACGATACTGAGCAGAGCCTAGGATTCTGTAAAAGTCTTCTTTTTTGGGGGGGTCCCAAATTTTTGCTGATTTGCAGAAAATATTCAATTTTGTCGAATCAATTTTTAGCAGATATCAGGTCTAGTGGCCATGACACAAAGTGCTCTTGTAAGGATTTAGTTAATTTGCTCATAATTTCATGCATTGTTTTTTTTCGTTGAAAATTGTTACAGTATGAAAATTACAAGAAATAGAACCCTACAAAAATTGTGAAAAATGAAACCCCACAAAAATAAACGACCTTTACATTACTTGATTTCATCCAGATACCAAGATAAAGAGGTGTATCGATCATAACCAGAGTAAAATTGCTTGTTTTCTCGTACCCCTAAAAGTTAGAATAATATGTGATAACTTGGCAGCATACTTTCTAAATTGTGCTCGCCAATGTACTAGTATATATATATTGAGAATGGTGTCCATTTTGTTATGGTTTCAAAGAGAATGTTTGTGAGATGTGTTTAACTACTTGTGTGAGAGCGTTATCTCAACTCTTGTGTATTAAAGAGAAAATAATCTGATGCTAGGTTTAACTTATGAGATTGTTCCTGTTTGGGGTACGAGCATATTGTTTATGTTTATCTCTCTATTTAAGTGCAATACTAAGCTTGTAATATTACCGTAGTAGCAACAGTACAGTGTAAAGGGTAATAGTTTCATGGATCAAAGTTGTCATAATTATAATTTGTGTACATAGTAGTCGTAATTTTCATTCCCCAGTATATGTTGATGGTCTGGAAACGGAGATCTGATTTTAATCGTGCTGGTCGTGTCTTAATGTATTTTGTCTCGTAAGTTTGCTGGATTTTCACATTCATTTGTTTTAAGTATAAAGCATATTTTCAAAATTGCTTTGTTGTCATCGCAGATTTATGTTGTCAAATAATAGATTGAATAAAATATATTATCGTCGTTCTATACAAGGGGAGATAACCTAACATTATTTTCAAGATATGATAATACTAGTTGGTGTAGTTCACAATTATGTAATAATAAGTCATCATTTTGCAAAATGAAATGCTGACATTAAAAAAAACACATTGTTTTTTTCTAAAGTACAATTAAATTTGCTGTAAAAGTATTTCTATGTGTGCATATTGTTTCTCGGTTGTGTTATATAGAAACATAGATTACAAAAAAAATACATTCATTTTTTTTTTTAAATATTTAGATATTTTGAAAGAATATTATCTGTAAATTGAAAAGTAACCTGTATCTATAACAAGCATAACTGTGACAAATATTCCAATATGGTAAGTTGTTCCTGTATACACCTTATATTATTCTGGTCGGAAAAAGGAAAAGGAGTTATTTAATGAATCTCTTAAATGTGCCATGGCAATTTTGAGATTTTTAATACACTTAATCATTCATACACAATAGTTCCATTCAGAATTTTTCAACATTTTTGTTATCCTTTTGGTGACATCTTGAAATTTGGATCAAAATTTATGATGATGAATATTCATGGGAAAAAACGTACATGTAATATGAAATGTGTTTAATCAGACTTTGATGTATACAGAAATTAATTTAAACATTCTTATTCTAGTGCTTATCTATGTAGATGTTGTAAGCTAAATTTTCAATGTCATTTTAAATGCATGATTTGTTAAAGATGCTTTGCATTTGTTGATGAACTGAACACGCCCAAAAATATCATACGACAGGGTAGAGCCTTAAGTATATGATTGACTTTATCACATTCGTAGACTACACATAAAGTCAAATCAGCATTATGGATTTAAGAAATGTGAAAAAAGTTTGCCATTTTAATTCCAGCAATCTACTGAGTTTGCATGGTATTTTCATGTGACAAAAAACTACCGGGCTGATATGATTTGTACATTACTGTTGCATGTGATATATCTGTTCGTTATAGATGTGTTTATTAAATATTTTGTCGTCATTGTGATGATGATGCGTGGTACGTACTCGTCAGCTTTTGTAAGTTATATATACATATACAAAGCTTCACTTGTTATTTGGCATAATATAACAAAATTAATAACCAATAAAACACATCTTGCCACAGGTAGAAATTGTTTTGGTTTTCATTGTTCGATATTGTATGTAGATGATGTTCCTAGTAATCCCGATACTGTGCCACAGAGCAGTTCCAAAAACGCTTCTGTGAATAAGCAAATTTGATGTCGTTCCTGACCTGACACATTCTATAGATGAGTTTTCTGGAATAAATACACTGTGTACCAGGAAATTTCTGCACTGTTAAACTTTAGGTCCTTCACCTGAAAATTCCATATTTTCCCAATATTAATTTTGCCCTTCACATTGAATTTCTATGTATGGTATGCTGTGTACCAAAAGTCACAGTCATGATAAATGCAGTCAAAAGTTAAACATTTCCTGGTATATATACAGTAGTCTATATATATGGTTCAACTTCTGAATTAATTGTTTTATCAATAAACACTGTATTCTACCTCAGAAAGCAAACTAGCATGGGTGAGTGACAGCGTACCTCAAAAAAAACAAGCTAATGAAACGACTAGTGAATCAATGCATCCCTTATCAGCATCCTTTTCAATAAACAAACACTTTAACTGGTCATATTGATAGGGCATAGGAATATGATAAATGAAAGTGGCCCAGACACCCTGTTCAAAAAGAATAAAGCAATTTTTACTTGGATCTTTTGCAAAAATGCTGCAATCATAATTATTATATTAAATCAAAAATTAAAATTGGCCGCCGCCAGTTTAAATGTTAGAATTTCATATGATTTAAAAAAAACATTCTGGAAGTTATATATTCCTTTTATCATTGTGTGATGACCATGTGATATGGTCATTTTGATACATTTATAACATTTATCGTTAACTTTACTGTTAAATTAAGATTCACAGTGTTGACTCATGTTTTGACAAACTCAACTAAAATGGTATTGTTGACTTTTTTGGTTGGTTTGATATAATTAATCCTTAGTGAACATTATTTGGTTTAATTAAAATATTATTTAAAAATCCATGTTTTTGTAGGTCTGCTAAATAATTACTAGACCTTATATAAGTAAAAAAAAACTGAAATTAAGTGCCTATAATTAAACAAGTTGTGACGGTTACCATTTAATGTAGTTAATTTACATTACGAAAACAATTTTTTACAATAAACTTTTAACAACGACGTAACAATACTTGCTTAGCTATCAAACCGAAAGTAGAAGATTTACCTCCCCTTGGTTATCGTCATTCTTGCCACGTCAGGCGAGGTCAGCACTGTTCCAAGATGGCTTCCTCCCTGAGAGAGAAGCAAATCCAAGCTTTAAAGCGTATGATCAACTTTAATCAGCCTCCAACGAAAGCCACATCGTCGGAACCACAATGGAAAGTTCTTGTGTACGATCGTTTTGGTCAGGACATAATTTCACCATTAATGTCGGTGAAAGAACTTCGAGATATGGGAGTAACGCTCCATCTGAATCTTCACTCGGATCGAGACCCCATTCCCGATGTGCCGGCTATTTATTTCGTGTTACCGACAGATGACAACATACAAAGACTGTGTAGGGACTTTGGGAATCAATTATACGAATCGTATTTCCTGAATTTTATTTCAGCAGTCCCACGTCAAAAACTAGAGGACATTGCTAGTGCTGCCATTCAGCAAAACTGTGTACACCAGGTCTCGAAAATTTATGACCAATATTTGAATTTTATTTCGCTTGAGGATGACATGTTCGTACTACGAAACCAGGAGAGGGAAAGCATATCGTATTATGCCATAAACAGGGGAGATGTAAAGGACACAGACATGGAGTTTATAATGGACACGGTTGTGGACAGTTTGTTCTGTGTTTTTGTAACCCTTGGTGTTGTTCCTGTCATTAGGTGTCCAAAAGGTAATGCAGCAGAAATGGTTGCGGAAAAACTGGATAAAAAACTCCGGGAAAATCTACGCGATGCCCGTAATAGCTTTTTCACATCAGACAGTATACAGACTGGTCAGTTCAGTTTTCAACGGCCACTTTTGGTTTTACTTGACCGTAATCTTGACCTGGCTACAATGCTTCACCACACGTGGACTTACCAGGCCCTGACCCATGATGTATTTAATTTACAACTTAACAGAGTTGAGGTGGAAGAAACTGTTGAGGCTAAATCTCCAGGTGGCGCAATGTTGAAAAAGAAGAAAAGTTACGATTTAAACCCTACTGATCGCTTTTGGCAGGCACAGAAGGGTAGCCCCTTCCCAATGGTGGCAGAAGCGGTGCAGGAAGAACTCGACTCATACAGGGCACAGGAAGATGAGGTTAAGAAACTGAAAGCTGTCATGGGACTGGAGGGTGAGGATGAATCTGCCATAAGTCAACTGTCGGACACAACAGCCAAGCTTACATCGACAGTCAGCAACCTTCCAGAGCTTCTGGAGAAGAAGCGTTTGATTGACATGCATACCAACATTGCCACAGCAGTACTTGGTCAAATCAAGGCACGGAAACTTGATGCGTATTTTGAAACAGAAGAAAAGCTGATGAGTAAGGCGGTATTGGACAAGTCTCTAATGGACATGATATCTGATCCGGACTCTGGGACTCCTGAGGACAAAGTGAGGCTCTTTGTCATTGCACTGATATGTGGGCCTCCAATGAGTGAAGCAGAGATTGACCAGTATTGTGTAGCGTTACAGGGGGCTAACTGTGACATTTCCCCGATCACCTACATACGAAGATGGAAAGCGTACACGAAAATGACAGCCGCTCCTAGTCAGTATGTGGGAGGAGGGACAAAGACTGTTGGTATGTTCTCCAAACTCATGACAACTGGTTCACAATTCTTCATGGAGGGAGTGAAAAACTTGGTTATCAAGAAACACAATCTGCCTGCAACGAGGATCATTGATGCATTAATGGAAATGAAATCGCTTCAAGATGTGGAAGATTTCCGTTACTTCGACCCGAAACTTCTTCGAGCTGATGCATCATCAGTACCAAGAAATAAGTCTCCTTTCCAGGAGGCATATGTGTTTGTGGTAGGGGGAGGTAACTATATAGAGTACCAGAACTTGATGGACTATGTGAAGACCAAGTCTGGTTCAGCGGGACAGAGAAGGGTTGTGTATGGATGTAGTGATATATCCAGTGCCTCCCAGTTCCTGAAACAACTCGGACATCTAGGCCAGGAAATGGGATAGCTATAGGCAAGCTATTGTTGTACTCGTGATCAACTTCAAGATAACTTCATTACAAGTCAATATTTGCGAGATTTAACCCTAAAACTAAAAATACACTGGATTATGGATGATTGTAAGTTTATTTTTAGGGTAACTATTTCGCATGTATTGACAAAATTCAAATTCCTATGTGTTGAGTACTTTCCCCAAATAAATTTAAGGTATGAATTCATTGATTGAGTAGTGCTAATTTTTTTTTAAAAAGTTTAAAACAAGGACAGTCAAATAAGTGAATGTAAGAAATGTGAGTGAATTGATCATTTTACTAGATTTAATTGTTTACCTATATCACATGCGTTGACTGACTGACTGTTCAGTATTGAACATTTCTATGAGTTTAAATATAGCTAACAAAATTTGAACCAGTAAACATCTTCATGTAGTTGCTTAAATTGTGTGTATCAACTCTCAAATCAACATTGGTTTTATTAAAGTTAAACACAGTTCAGGAAACAATACTTATATTGTGTACATCATGTGCACTTGTGACAAAACTTTTCAAAATGTTGTATTTAGTATTTATGTGTAATTAAATCAGCAGTGAATTGGTTCTCTCTGAACTTCATGTACCAGTCTGATAACATCAGTAAATATTATATAATTAGCTGCTTCCCTTCTATGGAATTTTTATAGTATGATGATTGAAAAAAAATGTATTCCTTAAAGAGGTCCCCCGTACCACTACATAAACGCAGTTGGAGACTTTGTTTTTTTGCTTCCTGAATATAGCTTTTAAAAATAATTTCTGGGACTTTTATGCAAAAATGAAATAAACTAACTAGTGTTTTGATTGTAAGAATTCAGCAAGGATAGACCTGGATTTGAACTCTGAACTTCATGTTGGATTACATTCTTGTCACTTTAAATTACTGAGGTACCTGCAGGTAAACAGACGAGGTCCGACCCTATTGTGCTACAGTTATAGCTAAAATGAAATTAAGGGGAGGTAACTGTATCATACTTATTCAAAAACTCTGTGGAATTCTCTAGTATTTTGCCTGCAGTGGGACAGTGATCTTTAATCATAGATCTTTAGACTTCACCAGTATTAATCTGAATTGGACAAATCATTGACTCAAGTATGCATTAATAGTACCTGGTATGTAATTGTATTTGTGTACAGATCTGTGCAAAAACATGTTGAATTCAAAACATTTTTTTCTGAATTTCAATATCCAGTATGTAGATTAAATTTTACATTTCTAATCATTTACAATGTATTGCTATTAATGCAAATACTTGCAAAGAAGAGTGAAAAGTGGATTACTTACTTATTTATTGAACGACTATGTCACATTGTTTTTCTGTATTTACTGTTAATTTGTAATTCTGTTCAGATTGTATATAAATGATTGAGGATGTATTTATGTGTTTACGTTTTCTGTTGCCAATGGGCCTGCATCGCTCATCTGGTATTAGTGTCACACTCTTCACCTTAAAAGTGGGCCAATCAAGTATATTTACACGGATTAAATTAAGCTACAGACGAAACATATAATTGACTATAATTACTCGTTCACTCCAAATAAATCATTTTATGCCATACCGCAGCGTCTGTCGTCCGGCCGTCAACTTTTCCTTTAAAGCGCTACTTGTCCTGAAATGCCAAGTAGATTTCGACCAAATTTGGGGGAAGGGGAACACATTTAGTATAAATGGTGGGTCTGGCCCCCCTGGGGGCTGAGGGGCAGGGCCCAATAGGGGAAATACAGCAAATTCTTTAAAATCCTTCTTCTTCTGTAGGAATGAAAGGATTTGTTCCATATTTGGTCTGACGCATCCTTGGGAGAAGGGGAACCAATTTTGTATAAACCACGGGTGTGGCCCCCCCCCAGTGGCCTGAGGGGCGGGGCCAAATAGGGGAGACATAGCAAATTATTCTTTAAAATCCATCTTCTTCCATAGGAATAAAAGGATTAGGTCCATATTTAGTGTGGAGCATTCTTGGGTAAAGGGGAACCAATTTTGTATAAACAGTGGGTCTGGCCCCCCTGGGGGGTGAGGGCGGGGCCCAATAGGGGAGATATAGCAAATTCTTTAAAATCCTTCTCCTTCTGTAGGAATGAAAGGATTTGTTCCATATTTGGTCAGAAGCATCCTTTGGTGAAGGGGACTCAATTTTGTATAAGCATGCAGTGGGTGTGGTCTCCCAAGGGGCAGAAGGGCGGGGAGAAATAGAGGTAAAACCTTAAAAATCCTTCTTCGACCATCGGGATTATGGGATTTTATCCTTATTTAGTCTGGAGCATCCTTCGGTCAAGGGGACTCAATTTTGTATAATTGGTGGGTATGACCCATCATCATGCTTAATGTGCTGGTTATTGACTAGAAGTCATTGAAAGACTCTAGCACATTTGACCTGTGCGACCTTGACAGTGGAACAAGGTCATTTGTTTATAATCGACATATTAACCTTTCCTACAAGCAAGCTATTTACTAAACATATCATTCCAGGGATGTAGAGAACGAAAGTGAGCGTAACCCCTGGATATCGAGGATTCCTTTGACCTTGAATAAACATTACGTGAGGGTCATTGATTTAAACAACATTGACTAAAGCCCTTCATTCCATCATGCTATTGGCCAAATATCATCAATCTTGGTCACTTGGTTATTAGGAAGTCATTTGCAATGAAAACGGTGGACGATGGGCGCCGTTTCAAGGCACTATATATAAGCTCACTTGGCCACTACATATGATTGACTCTTGGGTAAAAACATGACAGACAATTAATGTAAATGCAACACTAAATATAGCAAAAATTCTAGATGACGCATACATTGTCACTCAATCTAAGGCCATGTTTTGAAAGAGCAGAGAAATTAAGGTATACCATAAATTATGGTTAGGCACTGCATTTTCATAATGTATTATTATGTAGGGAATATTGCAATATATATAATGCAATTATGTAGGGAATATTGCAATATATATCATATTCCATTAACAAATCCGTTTAGTTATAATGATTATATATAGAAAATACGAAAAGCGAGCGTCAGTTCAGTAAGCGTCTATTATAAATTGAAAAGATTTTTATTTAAATTTTCGAAATCAAATCATCACACCAAGTAAGCTTAATTTGAATAAAATGGATACACTCGTAATATTCTTTCTGTGAAATTATTTCATTGCTGTGCTTAAACCAAAAACATTTCATTGAACAATTCTTGCAATATCTTATTTTCATTTCAAAATCATATTTTTGAAATATATATACATATGTATATACTGCCGCCCCATCTTCGATAGCCAGGGGTTACGCTCACGTACGCTCTCTACACCCCTGGAATATGTCATAGCAAAGTTGAAGGCACGAAGATAGCTGTTTGATTGGTCTCAGGTAACAAAACCTGACCAATCGCTCGGCTGATACTTGTCCTTTGTATATTACAAAGGGGCGACACCCGACTTCAAGGTCAGTCAATATTTACCGTTTACACTGAGCCTTCAACTTTGGTATGACATATTCCAGGGGGGTAGAGAACAAAAATGTGCATAACCCATGGCTATCGAAGATGTGTCCGCCCTTGCCCAAATAATGATCCGTTTATATCTTTACAAATTTTGGTTTCAACACTTATAATTTATTCCTATATCTGTCCATGTGTTTCATGTTTACCATGCTACATTCAAATTCCGTTTACAAGCTTAAGGTTATAGCCGATTCTGATTGTCCCCTAGCAATGTCGACCTTGTGATGTAAAATAATACGATACATATTTAATGTAATTAATCTTTGACAGGTTTCCTCACATCCTTTAGGTATGTTTTCCAATGGGATAAACGTTTCTCTACATCATTGGGTAGGACTACGAGTATTGCTAGTCTGGACCTACTGAAGCATCTGTAATTTCATAACCACTTCCTTCTTGATGTATATAATGGTGAGTTGGGCGTTTCGCATGGAACGTTTGCAGTTTACAATAACCCTGGCAGTCCTTATTGCTGATTTGGCTGGTTTTATCAATCTGATGCATGGCCATATCGAAGACGGTTTCAAAAGCATTTCGTCCGGAATCCTGACTTTGTTTCCAATGACAATAGGAATGATCAATTTCCACAATGATGTTCATCATATTTGCAATAAACGCGTCAGTCGACACATTCGTCTTTGTCACTGTTTTCACTAGTTTACTGAGTACTTATATACACTGTATCACATATTAATATTAAGGAGTTGACTAGAGAGGGTTAACCAACCATCGACTATCCCAGTCGACATTTCTGGAAACGGGTGACAAGTTAAAACACAAACGAAGAAAGAAAGGGTTGTTAAGTTTTTATCATCTTTTAGTATAGGAAATTGGTTATTTATTTATGCTTTTTTTGAGATCTCAATAATATGTAAAGGGTACAACATTTTATTTTTGTATTTGTATTTGTTTTAACCTATCTGTAATTGATAAAATATTAAATCACAGCTTTGCAAATGATAGGATGCTGTGCGATTAGAAATCGTTCATTAACGTCTTGTTGAATTACCGAACTTGCATGGCAGCAAAGAATCAGTTATAATAATAATAATGCATTTGATTGTTCTTATTTCAATCAATATATACGACATTCAGCTACAACAGGTAATACCGTTCCCCTGTTTGTAGATAACACCATCTTAAATGTGTTTATTCACTGTTTGTAGTATTAAGTTTATTGGTTCACTGGCCTTCCTGTGGTAGCGCGGATCTGTTACCAACTTTAGAGTGCTACCTCACATAAATATCATACCAAACGCTTCCACGACAATGATCCACCCAGACACATAAATACTAACAACAGGTAAACTGCGCTTAAAATAATTAAATGTTAAGCAAGGAAAAACATATACCACTTTTAATGACATTGGTAGTTTCATGGGTACAGAACTTATTTCTGTAACAGGCGAGCGTTCTGCAAAATAGTCAAACGTTAAGTGTTGCCAATGAGGTGCAACGAGACATAGATATCAGTAAAATGAATACAACTAATGCTAGGAATGAAAAAAAAGATAAAATCGCACCTGTCGCAAAGTGGGGATGATACACATCGTTGTCGGCTGCGAATTGATTTGCGAGACACCATTTCGAATGGGACTTATCAGTTTAATCCACTTGTCCCGTTGCGATTGGCAGTACTTGTCATCAGACGTCTGCTGGTATCTTCATAAAGTTTATCTCTGTAATTTCGACTTACAGAGTTGCCGTTAGTTTCCGTTCCATTTGTACACGAATCTATTATGCATATAATATATATATATAGTGCGTAAAATAGTATGCACAAGATCCTTTATGTTTCATCTATGGCGATGAATAAATTGAAAAAAGGGCAAAGCTAAAACAGCTGATGCTCCTTTGGTAAATAAGTGTCATTATAAAATGAGCAATTCCCCTTTCTTCAAACTTTATCTTTATTTGCAGGTATTCCAACGAATGGTCAAAGGCAGACGACAAGTTACGGTTCAACAAGCTCCTAAATATAAACGATGGTATATTCACTCTAGAATTTCATTCCCTGATAAGTCATATTCAAAGACCTCAGTTAAAAATCGGAACGCATATGTTATTTGAATATAATGAACTTGTACTTAAGTTATTTAACTGGTACAAATGGAGGTTATTATAGTCAATAATTAGGCATAAAGACTGGTGTCTTCATAAAAATAGTTCACCGGACTAATTACATGTCAATCTGTTTTTGCGACCCAACTGAATACTACGTAATGACATATTATTTAAAGTTCATTTATATACCTAGGTCATGCGGAGCTTAATTTATCTTTTTCTATCTATGTAGAGGCATTTCGGCCTCAAATCAAGATAGATGTTCCAATGCGATACTTCTAAAGTCGTTGTGAAATTCCCTGGTTATATATTTAATATATTATATATAAGGAAGCAAAGGTGAAATAGTCTAGATCGATAAATGAACAGAAGATGATTTTCCATTTTTAACATTCGGTGATGTTTTAAATGCGTTAGACATGTTATAAACATTAAAACTAAAAGGGATTGTTATGCTTTTAGCCTGTCTAGCATTTTTAGAACAGCATTAACTGTTACGAAAGAAAGCACACGTTATGTAAGGTTTTTGTTTTCGGTACGGTCACAAGGCCATTAATTTTACTGATACATATATTAGTCAAATATGTTCCAAATATTGGCATATTTAAGTCTGGTGAACTATTTTGAAGATGGCATCAGCCTTAATGCCTTTTTATTGACTACGTTAATCTCGCTATGGACCATTTAACAGCTAATATAGAAGTTCAATATAAATGTGTATATGACATATGCATTTTGATTTTTAAATAGGGTCTTTGAACATGACTTATCAGGGTTGGGAATGTGGGTGTCTATAGTCTCTTTAAGGGGGTTTCTTGAACCTTAACTATTGGATTATTGACGTCGGCTGCTACACAATATCTGAGGCCGATAGTCAAAGGTTCACCTGTTACTGTGTGTTTCTCCGTTACCGTTTCCCTCCTTGGCCTGTTATTTCTGCAAATATTCAGCGAAAAAATCTATAATAAGTTCCTGCTGAAAACGAGAAGGTATTTTGCCTTTAATGGTTGTGCAAAGAAATAGTGTTTAAGTTCCTGGTTGATTCTGTCACGTTAAAAGCCATTTTGGCCATACATTTTGTATGTCTTACATCTTTAGTTGTATCCGGGAACTCAGGTTTCCTTGTTCATTAGGCTTACTGTGTGTTTCCATACTTGTTAACGGGTGATAAATTAAAGATGAAAATAACTGGTTTCATTGTTAGCTAGTTACTATATTCATCTTTGAAAAATATGCTTTACTTTTAAAACTATAGACGTGCATTAGACGAGACCAGTTTTAGTAATTTTGTTACCCTTTTCTCTTTGAATAATTGCACGTATTTGGTTGTTACTGGTCACGATGAGATTATTTTTTTCATATGTCAGTTGCTGGAAAAATGCATCAATGTGATTGTTGTTGTCATATCCTAAGTCCTCGATGTGGGGACATGACAATACTTTGATTCGACTTGGATTGTCATGGCGGGAGTCATCGATGGAGCAGATGACGCTGATCCTTCCGGAACGCTTGGTCTTTTTCCCCTTGGACTTTTCAAGGGTTTCCATGTAAATCTTCCTTTTGTTCATATTTTGCCCAAGTTTTATCGATTTTGAGTTCGAACTCTGATTTTGTTGATACTTCGGTACTCTCTTTTTGCTTAATTATAGTCGTTAACAAAATTTCGGAATATAAATAAGGTAACGGTCTTTTTCCACCACAGTATGATAATTATCTTCTTTGATCTATGCGGACGGCCTTTAAATATTTACAGCAATTTACGACATGTGCTTTTTTTTCCAGTACAATGTTCTGATCAAAGTAGTGTGCACCAAACTGTCAAGTCGCGATCGGCCGTCGTTCTTAAACATACGCAGCGGTAATCCTGATGATTGGCAGCAATATACAGTTTGTCAAACAACTACAGAAGAACGGGATGTAACTACAACTGAATGTCAGTAGCCATTATACAACGATTTATCTTATCTTTGAGTCTAAGCTGAATATCATATTGTTTAAAACTTGCATGGAACAGTTAAGCCATAAAACTTTCAGTTGTAATTTGCGTTTATGCAAAAATAAACAAAGGTATTTAAAGATCATAAAACTGAAAGTATTTTGAATGCGTTTTTACTGCACTTATGGATTTCTTCAACTTTTATTATTCCCTGTATGCTATCCTTACTAATATACATGGAAACATTTCGTTGGACAGTTACGTTATTTAGCCATACTAAAAAGCGCTACAGAGTTTGTGGATATTGTCTTTTCATAATTTTGAAATAAAACTCAAAACAAATGTAATGATTGTTTGCATCTTTTCCTCTCAATGAAATATTGGTTAATATCAACGTAAATGGGCAATTCTGTGCGTCACATTTGAATCCCTACTTTGACGTTTATAATAGTTAATATTTTAATCAATAATGATTTGTTTCCGGTGTATGTGTCTCCTTCCATCCTATGTTTCCCATGGTACATTTCAGCTGTAGTCTCGGATTATCATCCAGCAAAACAATGCCATTAAACTCGATCTTACTAAAACAAGCATGTGTATTTTCCTTCCGGTGTTGTTTAAGAAAATAGTTTTTATGTTTCCAGAGGAGCCTGTGACAGTGAATACCGCCATCAACATATTGGTAATATATACGGTTATTTGCTGCGATATACATACTTTTGAGGTATTTTGCTTGGTGTACAAACTCAAAATGGCATTTATACTGTAAATAGGTTTCTTGACTGTGCTTTAATTTCATTACTTCATTAAAAAATCGTAACTTCCGGAAGTCATCAATGCGTGGAAGAATTGCTTTAAAGAATCAATTTTCAACAAAATCATATATGGGATTTTTTTTTTACTTTTGAAGTGATAACTAGAATTTCGTTAAATCTTTTCCATTCATGAAATGAATAGACTTAAATCTCCAACGAAAATAATTTTAGGCAGGTTATTGCATCATCATCCAAATCCTATCAAAAACGGTACTTAAAACACATACACATTTTCAGGGGATTTAAGATATGCACAGATGTTTTTTCGTTTTTGATAACCATTGTCTTAGCTATGATACTCTATGATACTGGGTTTATGAAATCCTTAAATGTATGCTGACGTACAAGTTGTGTCGTCAACCTCCTTCTTCTGGTTCTTAAATATCTGTAAATACTGTGAAATCATTATTTTTTGTGGGTTTTTTCATTTCTTTTATTTCGTGGGTAATCTTCATCCACGAATTCATAGGTCCACGAAGTAATAAAAAGCAATTCTCCGTTTGATTGGATATTCGTAATACACGAATTTATGTACCAACGAAAACGTGTTTAGTCGGGAAACCATGAAAATTGGACCCCACACAAATATCTGATTTCACAGATTATGTGCTTTAAAAGTGTTACTGATGACACTTAATATGCAGAAAGCTTTCATTTTTGGAGACAGGTCATTTTGGTTACTGCAACTGTCTTTAAGCATATTAAATTTGTTTTCTTTTGTGTTGGAAAAACATTGCTGTTCTATTTCCTCATATGAAAGCAAAATTGTAGCCTGTATCTGTTATATATTTTCAACATTGAGCATATCCAAGATTATTAAACATGCAGTTGGCACCATGACCCGATATATGACAAGGAAATGTCAATGTGTGCTTAATGTGACTTAAGATCGTCGGCGACTGACTTACTTTCCTAGATGTGACAGGAAACAGAAAGTAGTGCGCCACATGTGGTGCAATAAATGAGTAACTTTCAAGATCACGTGTTTTTTTTATGTTTTATTAGGGGAGGTGGGTGTCGATATGTCTCAGTTTATGTAGTTGTATTTGTGTAAAGAGTTTAGAATTTGTCCTTTTCTGTAGACGCTTTGGTTTTCTCTGTATCACTTGTGAAAACATCTATACCACTTGTGAAGACGTGATGAATAGATAGTGTATGACAAACAAAACGAAAACCCACTTGTCCCATATTGCATCATCCTTTCCTATCATTTATTAGCGGAATTTTTATTCCGGAAACCAAGTCGAAACTTAACGCTGCTTGTGGATAAATTAAACACCAAACGACACAAGATTACGTCCAAAGTTTAATCTTTTCGTCGAATCATCATTCGAACCTCCGAGATTGTGTCCATTGCTTCCGGCCATGTATCCCAGACAATACCATTATATCCGGTTCCGGGTTTATAAACACCATTCAGGTTGGCATGGCAATATTGGTTGAACCACCAACCACCTGAGCGATAGGAGGCGCTGCAGCTATCGAACAAGCCGTGGTCGTAGTTTGTGCTGAAATCCATCCCGTTGTACGTATGCATAGCGTCACCTAGCGTGGGAAAAGGGAATGATATGAATTTGAGAAAAGAAAAAAAGAAAAAAGCAAATCTTCTGAGGACAGTCGCCGTTTCGGATAAAAAAACTCAATTCTTTTTATTGTCGATTTGAAATGAAATACAGATTTTCACATTTACTTCAGTTCTTGTTGAATTTTCCTTTTACGCGATATATGGATATTTTTCAACTATAAATATAGTCTTTTAATAATTCAATTTAATTAATTTAAAATAATTATGAACTGTTGTTTAACCTTGAATTTATTTTCCTTTACTGATTTGCTTGTCTTGTGAGAGTAGCCTGCTGTCTATCGGAGTTCTTGCGTTTTAACTGAACTCGGGAGCTAAGATTGGTGGATACAACCACACCAGACTGAGGGACCAGACTAAGGACAATCTACCCACCTCTATGATACCACCGCAAGGAGGTAACTACACCTTCATACCCCTACCTTGCATCACCTTAGGTAGTAATAGGACGCTTAATCATATTAACCAAACCTTTTACTAACTCATCTGCTAATTGTTTTTCGTATAGTTATTCTTATTCAGTACGATTCGAAACTGTTCGGGTTGGGAGCAAGGTAATTAAAAACCAGTTTGATTTCACAATATCGCAAAGTTGGTGACAGTGCACTCTGTTAAGACTTACAAAGTGGATAGTTCATTAAATGATCATCCCATGTGTTGTTCAAATGAAGGGAATATTGTAATAAAATGTTCAAACTGTAAATAAACATGTAAATAAACATGTAGATATAATTTAATATTGGATTTTGTGTTGTGGAATCCTCATGCCGGTTTCGTTACAACTCATTGGGACGTACGAATGTAAGATAGTATTCCAAAAAGGATACGTATACCTACCACTTCAATACAACTTTGCAAAGCCAGAATGAGAACTAATAGTGAATTTGGTTTGGTTTTATTGGGTTTACTGGGTCCTATTACAGTGAAAGCTAAGGTAATTTAAGGACTTGCATCCATGAATGTAATACATGCGTGTGTACTGAAGATGTATTTGCAACCATGCAATAGCGCGGATTTGATGATGACATTAGAGCGCTAACTCACTTAAGTAACATATGCTGCAGTCACCAATCAATGTATTCAACCTGGTCACATTGAACTGATAAACCAGTCCTTATCGCTACCATTTTAAAGGAATTTAACTCGTCTCGGTCAGGACTAAACCCATAACCTAGGTATCATTTGGAGTTGACATACCTGTAATATATATATATATTGAATTTCACAGGCAATGTCTTATTTCGCATTCAGAAATTTATACGACTTAAATTTTCCCAATATGTATCTCCTGGGCATGTATATTGATCTGAGTTAGTAAACTTTATGTGGAAATAAAACATTTAGGTACTGGTAAAAAGATACATAAAGTGGATCTAAAGAGAGGGGCAAAAAGGGGGGATTTCGAATAAACGTTACCGCTCTAGTCTAAGGTTTTTTTTCATGAAGCTCGTTCGTACGATTAGCATATCAAATTTGTAAGTTTTAGCTGTGCCCTTTATTCAGAAATACTACAATAAGTTCTTGAATTATGTATGTTATGTCCTCATTTGCATCAGAACAAGTACGATAATGTTTTGTTAACCACATTTAGTTATAATTACTGTTTTTGTCTTTTTGTCACAGACCGGTAAAGGTACGGACATCAATATTAACTGACATCTGCCTTTAGTCTTACGTAGATAGGTATGTATTGTAATTGATATTCATAAAGTGCAGTATAGATGAATTGTTCATAAAGATGTCTGTAAGAATACAAAGAGGTTTGACGACAGGTATGTAATTATATGAACTCATCCATCACATTTGATATGGAAAGTCACCTAATTGACCATAACAAAGTCAGCATATTGCTTTTTGACAGCACTCATTTGAAACCGTTGAATTATTTATAGCTTAATTACTGTAGCTATGGTAGCTACTAAGTCATTCGCTGGAACATACATATATCAATTTAATATACAATTAGAACTGTAAAGTATAATGGTAATAGATATAATGATTGTGCTTGAAAATATGCTCGGTAAACATTACAGAAGTGTTTACGTCACTGTTATAGCGATATTGCCGTAGTTTCGTAAAATGAGAGTACTAATGGATATTTTTTATTAATAATAAAGATTAATACATATCATAATTTGCATGATATGATATATTAATCGATACTTTTTGCAATTAAACGTTTGCAAATTCAATCGTAGATTCTTAGACGTTTAAACAATAATTTGTTTGTTTAGGGATTTTCGTCCTCGCAACAGCAAAAGTAATAGACATGCGCACAGGGAGATAACGCCGAAAAGTAAGGGAAACGTTTGATTAAGAAACAGTAAATATTTAACATTATTTGTTTTATTCTTGGTACAGAGAAAATCTTGAGTTATGTTTTTTAAAGATGAACAAATTATTACCGGTTTTGTGTGCGAAATTAACGTTTTAGCAACATCTCAGGAAGACGGTGCCTAGGAAGATATCGCCAAAAAGATAGAGTATGTACAAAACGAAAAATTGGCAGCAGATCATGTTTGGTCTATTCATTGTCTCCGTTGCATAATACATAGACGATTCTACCGTGGGCACCACATTACTCGCCTTTTACTTGCAGCAGGATACTATTCTCTTTTAAGCAAGCACGGGAAACCTTTTTTTGTTTATTTTAAATCCAATTGATGTCGTCATATAAGTGAGATGGCTGAAATAAATCAAGGATACCTTATTTAAAATGAAACATACCAGCATTGCCACTGTAGTTGCTTATATTGAGTCTGTATTTGTTAGCCTCGTTCTCGATCCGGAAGTAGCTGTACTCCGCGAACCTCTTCTCTTTCCCAACACTCGTCAGCTCTATACGGAGAGTGTATGGTTCACGTGTGGTCACTGCATTGGTCAGTCGCCAGATATTCTCGTTACCTACAGATGATATATTTCAACTACAATGCCCTTGGGTACTTAGGATTCTTTCTCTTGGTCTATATTGTCTAAACATACTGAATTCTTACATTTTTGACATTTTTCATAGAATTTGTTGAAGGAATAACCAGGATCATTGTTTGCGCTATACAGTATTTACCTAATACTGTGTGTACCATGCAAACATTCGCTTAATGCCAAAATAATATTCCACAAAATACAACATTACACTGTTATTTCTATTGCCGTGCAACTTAAACCCGAAACGACAGCTATATAAGTGCATATCCCTTGTAAAATGTACGATTTCAAGAACGATTTCGAAACAAAATAATGGGGAAAATATATACCTCCCTTGATAGGACAGAGTTTGCAGTAACACCGCTTATCTTGCAGTATCTTACTAGTCTGTCGTCAATAAAACGTTAATGGCATAATATCTAAGTGTCTGTATCATTGTCTTATGATTTATATTGTTTTATTGACATCAGATAGTTGTCCAGTTTATATTCATAATGTATATAAAAAAAAAAAAGAAAAAAAAACCATGGCAGAACAGTACACTGTGAAATCAGATATTTTCGTGGCGCCTAAATTTCCCGACAAAACACCATTTCGTAGGTACACGAATGCTCGGATTACGAGCACCCATTCCAAATTGTAAATACTTCGTGGAACTATGAATTTGTGGATGGAGATTACCCACGAAATCAACGAAATTTAAAACACCACGAAAATTAGCCATTTCACAGTTTGTGGAAACTCTGAACAACTCTAAGCAACTTTTTGGTAAAACGTTACACATGGGATGAAGACAACATTAGGAAAGTTTGATAGAATACTAGAAAAAATACTACTTCTGGTTGGTTAGTTGTTCAACAAGACGCATCATACAAAGGATATTATGTTTGTCTTTTTTCATTGTCTCTACAAGAAAAAATAGAAATAAGTATCCACAATAAAAGAGTAATTTATAGCAGGTTAACATCTCAGACGTGTTATACGGGTATACTTGCCTAGCCAGAAGTCTTCATTCTCATTCATTTCACCGAAGCCTAGTTTGTAGTCTTCCCAATCGGAACTAAAGTCCGTTTTGCCGTTTACTCTTTGCTGTATTATCTATAATGAAGTGTAGAAAAGTCATTAGGAAATAAAGGTTATCATTGTGTGCTATTTGACAATTATGGACTTTTGTTGAGGTGAATATATGGTTATATGAACCTTAGAAAGCGACATTAACCGAGACGAAGTCGATCACAATATAGCTTTTTAAGGTCTATATAGCCACATTTTCACCAAAATAAAAGTTCTCAATTGTTTTAATCATTAAACAAGCTGGAACGTATGAAAAGTGTATGGAGGAAAGTCAATTGGCAGAGAGCATTGTGAGGTTGCAATTGAAATGTAGACAAAAAAGTGAATATTGATTCGCTGTTTCTAAAATTAGTAACACCGAATCGATTTCACTATTTCAGCCAATGAGGACATAGATAAAATGCGTGTCATCTTATATAAGTGTATGATTACACCAAAACGTGATTTGCATGTCCATGGCAATAACTGGTTCACCCGTTGTCAGTATAATGTGATCGGGCGGAATGCTGTGCTGGGTGCCTTCGGCATGGTATAGTGAAATAGCACTATAAAGCCGTGCTATCACAAGGACGCAAGCACACCAACATACCGTGTCTTCTGCACATACACTACACACATGGAGGCATGTCTTTAAATGACTTGTGTAGCTTTTAATAGAACATCCGTGGACATCAACCTTATATCGCTTAGGACTCCAGCAGTAAAAGAAACTCAAACGAATTAACCGACAACAAATAAAAGGTTCCCCTACTGATCTCAGTAAGGGCTGAAGAAGGCAACCAGGAGGGCGTCGAAAGTTACCCTTGAGTAGTACTTAGTTGAGAGACTGTTAAATGTTTGTTTCGTATTGATGATAGTTGTCACGGGATCTTGTTCAAAAGGTCCTTTTATGTTTTTTACATTGACATTAATAAGTAATGAACCACCCGTACAAATGTCTACTTAACCAATATCACCCTTCTAAAGCGTTCATCAGTGAATTACACAGCCTTAATCTGCTGCACCCATTGCAACGTTTGGGATCTTTATCTTTCTTTCTACTTCTATTTACCTTTTATTTCCTAAGCGCCTTGCTTGGAAATACCTCACATATGGCTTTACTGTTGAGCATTCGCATAGGTGGGAAGACAATGGATTTTGTCCCCAGACCGGGATATACCAAAAGTCCGTAAAGATGGTAGTTGTTATTCCCTTCTTAACGTTCAGCATTTAGGGGTAATGGCAACAACTGGTTTACCCGTTGTAAGTATAATGTGACCTTGCAGAATACTGTGCTGGGTGCCTTTGGCATGGCATTTCAGTGATTTAGCACTATAAAGTCGGCATCAGATCCGCGCTATCACAAGGATGCATATATATACACCAACATACCCTGTCTCCGGCACACATACACACATACACGCATACAAAACACACAGGGGGGCACGACCTTAAATGACCTTAGGTGTTAATGGGACGTTAAACAAAACCAAACCAAACACAGCCTTAATCGACAATTTTACTGAAGACTGCTGAAACATTAGGGATCCCTCTCCCACTGGAGACATAACACTAGGGAATTCCGATGTAGTGTTTCGTACATGAAGTAACCTTCCCTTAATGTCATTTTGAATATAATTCTACTGCAACTGGACCAGAGTACCAACCTAGACAAGGTAGCTGAGTTGGTTAGAGCGACCGTATCATAAATGGAGGTCCAGGGATCAAACCCTGGACTGGCACCGCAGCACGTTCACACTCACCACCCTCCTTATCGACTCTATTTTATTCATCTCATCTTCATCATCTGTTCATTTAAGTTCCGAAAAGTAAGGTTTCCTTTTTCAGATAAGATTTCTTAAAGCTATAGAGTCTTGCCGGAAAAGTTGTTTCCATGGCATAGTAACAGGATTATGTGGTTAGGGGATCCTCTACATCACATACATCTAAGTTATTGTTTTCGCCTGCGACGAGAGTCATGCATTAAGGCTCAGTTCTCTCACCTTTGTATCAACATAAATATTGAATGTACGCGTTTTCTTTCATTTTCTTTTAATTTAAAGTTTTCATTATGAAAAAAAAAGTGAAATTAAGAAAAATGATTTTATTGGCTATTCTACTTCCTATCTAATTATCCACGTNGTCCAATTTCACTTACGGTCCAACCACCTTCATCCATGTCACAAAGGGCAAACAGGGCTGCATTTGAGTCCGGACGAAGGTCATATACTCCATTCGGTTTGTAAGTCTCCACTGGACTCTTCAGTACCTCTTCACAGTCTCCTTGGTGTGAAATACCAAATTTATATGATTGACACATTTAAATTCTGCTAACGCTGTGTATGAAATTGTACACACAATAAAGTGTATTCAACTTGAACGGTGCTTCCTAATATACAATTAGTGTTAACGAACATACTACGTTATGATACTAATTAAGCTGAAAATGCTTATCAAGTCCTATTCTTAACAGGATCACGTTGATTCGAAAGTGTTTAGACATTATAAAACTAAACATGACTATTACTGTATTCTATGAATGTTCTTATTCCGTCTTTGCCTATTGCAGAGTTATCTTCTCTTGGGAGCAGAGATTGATTGTTACGTCATTGGTTTGTGTGAGAAAATTACGTCGTTTTCTCAAACATTGATGACGTTATTCTCACAAACAAGTGACGTAACAATCAATACCTGTTCCCAAGAGAAGATAACTCAGCAATACGCAAAGACGGAATAGTGTCTCAGAACAACGTTTCTCATGCCAGTATCAAACCTTGAGTACATGGTTGCAGTCATATGAGCGAGACTACTTTGTCTCATCAATCATCAACACACATCAAGTGCGCGCGAATTGTGATTTGGACAGATAGCAATTAAGATCGTTCTCTGATTGTTGAAATAAAAAAGAAACTGAGGTCATTAATGTTAACAGTGTCAGAGAGATCATGAAGCTTACGACCAACATTGAATGGTTAAACATATTTCAAACCAGTCGATCTTCTATCACAAAATATGGCAGTTCTAGTCATCAGCAAAAGTGACATTTTAAAGAATTTACCCAAATGTTTGCGATTGAGCAGGAATAATTGTTTGCATGCTGTTTAACATTTTCGAAACAGCCAATGAAGACGAGTTTCTAAAGAGACACATCCAAAAAGAAAGTGTAGGGAATTGAGAAAGGATTGCAACTTTGGTATCTTCATTTTCCTCCACTAAAGAAACTCCCTGCATAAGCATAAGCCAGATGCCCGTGTTGGACGACATCGAGAACGAGTCGGAAGAAACCGACACAGATCGATACAATATCCGGAGTCCACAGCATAGTTCAATAAAACCCATAAGTTAACACCTACAGGAATCGTCTGCATGTGACAGCATACGTTCAGCGTTTTGTGCACGAGTGCATGACGAGGGAAAAGCAGACGTGTACATAACAGGTCTCGACATTGCTGATAATCATAGGTACAGAACTCGAGACTCTGACACACAATAATGCGATAGACAGTAAACAATCAAGTAATGGCACATTATGATATCTGACACAACAAAACCTTTATAACTTTATTTAGACGACGGCGACGACGACATAATTAGGTACAGAGTATGGTACTCAATGCACTGTTGCAGAAGACGACAAAAATATTCACAAGTTTTACATGAGGAATCACTACTTTCATTTCATCGTTTTGTTGAAATCTTTGCCTTAAGTTATAATTCAAACAATAGTTAAACACGTATAGCTCATTTCTAAACAAAAATCAGGCTGGTAAGTATGGATTATGAATAGTTATTTTTACACAACCAACAAGATTTTCTATGTGACGTTCTGATGACTAGTACGGTATGTACACTGTCACATTCATCAGAAAAATGACTAATGAAGCGTATGCACACAAAGTTGTAAAATGTGTACGAGCTGTCCGCAAAATCGATGTCGATTCGGCTACGCTGTGAGCGTATGTACAATAGTCGTTAATATGTACCGAAATGACTCGCTTCAGCTACGCTTTGTTTAATACTTGGTCATAGATATGCGAGAATCTATAAGCCCCCTCATCTCGATTAATAACTGCGGCGTATCCATATGGTTTCCTTTATCTGCTGCTTGAACAGATTGCTCTCTCTGTCCAAAACTTTGCAGTTGTCTTTGCAGTCAATCACATTATTTTTTAACATTTCATGGGCATGGTCTGTGATTTCGGATTTATTTTATCTGGGACTCCGACTGCTTCCTTTCAGATCTGGTGAATTTCCTACTTTCTTGGGTTTCCTTATCCTTCCGGTGTTCACCAATGCGGTCCCCAAATTGTCTTCCGGTCTTTCCAATATACGATGCATCGCAGTTTTTTGCATCCGATTTTGTATACGCATTCTGTGACGTTTTCTTTGTTTGTGTTATCCTTAGTGTGTACTAAGATATTGCGAAATGTCATTTCGGTACATATTTAACAACTATTGTACATACGCTTACAGCGTAGCCGAATCGACATCGATTTTGTAGACAACTCGTACACATTTTACACCTTTGTGTGGATACGCTTCACTGGTCATTTGTCTGATGAAGGTGACAGTGTACATACCGTACTAGTTATCGAAACGTCAGATAGAAAATCTTATTGATTGAACAAAGACAAAGCAAGACAGCATTGGTCCATCGCAACAATATGCTACCGAGTTCTTTGAAATAATTTACATGTAAATGGTTTTTAAGATAAGACAAATGGTTACAATATTATAGAAATAGAGCTTCAAAGTCACCTGAAACTCATCTTATTTAACTGTCTAAAACACGTTTATCGAAACTGCCGCGTTCCAGAGGAAGTCAGAATAGCAGAAATTCCCTCATTCACCACCTATACCCCCACCCAATCGCCCGCATCTTAGTCATTTCGTTAAATACACAGCATCTCATCCTTCCTTTTTCACCTCTATTTACATGCCTCTGTATGAGCCCTCTCGATGTTTATTTTCACAGCATATCTCTTTCATTTGACAATTGTGTTGAACTTCTAAATTTCCTTTCGGAATATATAAGATAAGTTTTCAATATGTTGCAGGTTTTTCACTTATATCTTTTGTATATTTACCTTTCCCTTCGTCGGAACATAGCAATCTGGCAAACAGTCCTGTGGTAACGACATAGCAAAGTTAATTAACTAGATGAAACATCATTTGAGAGATCATAAGTCAAACATCTTCAGCTGACTAGAGTACACAAAATTTATGGGACAGTTAAACAAATCAGCATTAAAAAACTATTAAAACTGACTTTACATTGTGTTGTTTAATTACTTGATTGTTTATAATTTGTATTTTTAATAGGCTTATTTTCGACAGAGGGATCTCCTGGGTCAATTAGTACTTATAGAGAGACTTCGGGGAACGTGTCTGGATTGAAGTTATGAAAGGCTGGACCATGACCCGGACAAGAAACTCAAGAAGAGTCACAGGTATTGCTTTACTTGGACCTGTGTAAATACCACTGACCGGTATGATGGGGTGACTGGATCCAAATGACTTATTTCTTTTTAGGAAGCGTAAGTTGCCTTCGGCAAAATTTACAGAATACATAGAGAACAAATATCTACTTGCAAGCAAAGTGGCAAACTCTAACATTGGAGAAGAGTCCAGTTAGTTTTCGAACCTCTGGCGAGATACCTGTGTGTAGTAGACCCTCCACGATTATGCTATGAATTGTCAGTTGGTTTATGATTAAGGGTAACGGAACAGATTGGTTGGTAAGGGATTAATTGGTTAGAAAAAGAATGCACGTTTCCTATAAATGCATCTGTAATTTGAATACAGTATCGCTTTCAATTTAATGTTCTATTATATTGCCTTATAGTCCATCTAAGGGAGTGAGGGTGTCTTTGGTATTTTGTATAATAATATTTTTTCTTTCATTAAATGATGTTTGCAAAGGGTTTTAAGGAGGAATTATGTAAATTGCCTCGTTGGTAGGTTGGTAAAAGGTCGTTGCAAGATAACAAGGCATTTTAATCACGCTATTTGGGTAGTACTTTTGAGTGGGGTTTTTGGTAGGGGAACCGTAAAAAGCAAAATTATTTTACCTAACACAGATGTTGAGTGACGAAACAGGCAGTCACCTCGAGGAAAGACACCTGCAACCAGAGGAGCGTCACGAGTAAAAGGAAAACAACATCGATGTAGATAAAAAAAAAATACATGACATTCTACAACATTGGTTTTGCGACTAAACGAACACCACGAAAACTATCGCTCGTTCCAAAAATCCTTCTCAAGAGAATGATATTTTACTGCAAAAGTCCTGACGTTTTAAAGATTAAGAAGTGCTGCTGATCGCGCGAACATTTAACAATGCAGAAGCTCATATAGCTATCGTAATATTATAGGGTTTCATAAGCAAATATCTTTCAATATTTATTTTTTGTATATATTTATTAATATATTTATTTTTCTTCCAATTCTGCGTTTGAAAAATACACATCCCCCATATGCGCTTCACAGAATAAACTGAGTTTAGCCCATTTCATGTTATAGTGCTGATTAATCAGGAACAGCGAAATGAAATATTGGAAATTAGATCAATTATGCAAATTACAAAACAGTGCATCTGGAATACGTCGTGTTAAAGTAACAGCCATTTTCGATTATCACGTAAGCTAAAACAGCTGAAATTAATTAGCTGTTAGAGTTAAATTTATGACTTGATTTAACGTGTTAGAATGGAAATGATGTGTGCATATATTTTTAACATGTCATTCTAAAGTGATGCACAAAAGAGAAAGCTCACGCTTCCGGTATCTAACTTTTATTTTCTTGGAAATTTTGTCATTCTTGCTATTCATTCCATCATGATACACATACAACAATAAATAATTTCATATTTATATATCTTACTGGGTTTTTTACCTTTCAGTATCCTTTAACATTATATGTATCGTCCCCTAACGAACAAGTTCTGTGTTGATACGCCGTTAAGAATGTAATAATTACACTTTACACGAGGATTTTTTTATTGTTTTATAACATGTCTTCATACCTACTATATCCCTAATATAGCCATTTGTAAAGGTCAGGAGGAATGTTTGTTAGATTGAGGTTTGGGGTTTTGGTGCCTCCGTCTGTATAATGCAATTGTGTGCTGGAGGTAGTTTGTTGTGTATGCCTCTTTGTGATAGTGTGGATCTGACGCCGACTTAAGTGTGCTTCTTCACTGAATTATCCCAAGAAACCCTGCACATATCCCCACCTAAACAGTCCTATTAAACTGACAAAGGATAGCATACATATTTCTACGCAACATCTAACATTGTTTTGAACAGGGGTATTTTTATATTTCTATGCCTATTTCTATAATTGTTTGTTTGATTGTTTGTGTATAATTTAACGTCTTTGCAACAGCCACGATTATATGAAGATGGGTGCCTAGTGATCCACTGCCGAATTGAAAAAGAACAGGGAAGTGAGAACAAAAAAGATAAAGATCACAATTGATGCAATAGGTGCAGCAGATCAATTTTAGTTTCTTTGATTTCCCCAAAGTAGAAAAAACAGAATAAAATCCACTATTCTGCAGGGGCCCACATTAGTTTCTTTTTACGGTATGCAGTGTGATACAACAGGCATGTTCTTTACCCGAGCTCGTAGGGGTTTATTTCGATGTCTTCGAAATAGTGTTCAGCAAGATTTTATCTATTTCCATGTGATCTAATATAGCTTTAGGGAGGAATATTATTATGTTTACGTCATCTCACTAAGTTTTAGAGAGGGGTGTATTTATTTTAATATATCCAATATAGTATTAGACAGAATTATATTTATTTTATATGTCAACAGGCATAGTTATAGGCGGAGTAGGAAATGTTGACTATTTAATTCTAAGAATTTTTAGTGATTATTCAATCCTATTTCATGCACATCACAAATCAAACATTTGTTTTTCTTGGTCTGTTAGAAACGAAACACGTGCAATTCCAGTTTATCATAATAGATGTAGCAGATCGATTTTAGGGTTTCTACATGGCTTCCCTATTCCGTCTTTGCGTATTGCAGAGGTATCTGCTCTTGTGAGCAGGTATTGATTGTTACGTCATTTGTGTGCGAGAGTAACGTCATCAATTTTTGAGAAAACAACGTCATTTTCTCACACAACCCAATGACTTAACAATCAATACCTGCTCACAAGAGAAGATAACTCTGCAATACGCAAAGACGGAATACGTTATATCGTTGTTTCCTTTGGTTTATCAGTAAAACAAAGTTCAGTTTAAGACTTATGCATAAAAAGGTGATACTTTTTAAAGTGTTCATTGGATCGTACAGAAATAATTACACCATGCTTTTGTGCAAGTTTCAGATAGCAGCACTATACATACCAAGACCGAGATCCCGTTTTCGTACTTCTGTCTTCTCTGTGCTGCCTTGGTCTTCCTGTGAACCTGCTAAAGTAAGAAAATATTCTTAGGTAAGTATAAACATATTCTACAGGATAAACTGTAACAAGATTTATCCCAGCAGACGAAAACTTACCTGATTGATGATAATCAGAAGGAACACACTTTTGAGCTTTTAACCTTAAAAAGAGCGACACGGATGTTTAAACATAATGGTAGATGGACTTTGTGACTTCAAATGAAGTCGTATTTAATAAGGTTGACCTTCATATAAAAAAAGATCCTTGGAACACCTAAGGTCAGATAAAGTGGGGTGCCAGGAAAAAGAGCACTTAAAAAAGACATCCCCTGTGTTTCAATGGAAAAAGCGTCCCTAAGCAGACGACAAAGAAGAAAATCCCCGATTCGTCAAGAGGCTCATATAAGTCGCTTCTTACGCTAACATGCAGAACGAATGGGATACAGACCTATCCCCCCCTTGTTTTGTCGAAATATTGCAAATAATACAAATCCCTACTCGTGGGTTAAATAGTATATATCTATCAGTACCATGTTTCTTCTCGCACAAGCAACTTCATCCTGTCTGACATAATTGTGTCTGTATATCATGATATCACCATAATAAAATACAGTCAGAAATATATCGTATGATATTTGATAAAGAATAAATATCACTTAATGACGAAATAGCAAAACATGCTGCGCCTTCTAACAGACAACAAGCTGCTTGTAGCTGAAAACATGATCAAGCGTGCGGCGCCACATTTAATTTGATTCCACACGTAACTCTTTTGTGGTTTTTGGTTTGCATAAAACAAATACTCGCTCTCGCTTCAAAAGTTCATATGCTCCAGAAACCTCGATTTTTTAATTGATTGCGAAAACCTACTTTGAACCTATATTAAGACGGTGTGTAGGGAAACTGAACATCCCGGCAAATTCTATCCGGATTACTATCTATCCGGTATGTGCAAACAATTAAAGCCATTAGTGCCAAATGGACGCCATTTTAACCAAGATGGCGGATTATGCAAATGAAACGTTGTTTTGCTGACGTTTGCATTTTAACCCAATATTTTATGATATTATGTACCCCCTGAAATTGCATTTAAAGATGCGCAAACACACTTCTGTGCACACGTATACTTTTAAACATGGAGACACGTCCTTAAATGGCCTCAGCTGTTACATGTAGTCGGAGGTAACACCCTATCAAAACAAACCGAATCAAACCAACTTTAAGTGACCATTGGAAAGTTAGTAAAATGCTATTGATTCCGAATAAATACAGGTTCTTGCATTCAACAGAAATTTGATGACTAACGTATCGGAAGGGAATATTGCCTAATTTAATTGTGAAAGACTAATAATTTTGTCTTGAATTATTGTAAATTTAACCATTTTTGTCCATACTCATCATATCAAGTGGGACTTGTTGAACCAACCTAGTGAAGCGATATTTTCGACAGTACACATATGAACACAAGATGATGGAATAGCTGAATATACGACAATACAATCACAATATACTTTAACACAGCAAATCTCAACACAGGATATTGTGAATTTTGAAATGACTTATTGTATTTTCGCGAAAATATATTGAAGTTGTTAGAAATAAACATAAGTTAAAAAAAAATGCATCAACTCTTCGAATGCCGATTTCAGGTTAGCGTTTTTTTTAATTTATCTTCGTCGGAAAGAGCAGATCAATTTCTTGCAATAGAGCACATTTATTTATTGTTATTATTCAATTATTAGTAGGGTAACGTTAAGCGAACAACGGATGACTTTGTTTATTAATATGCTAATGAGGATTCAGCCTATTCTATGCCATAAATATGTTTTATTGTTATTGTATTTATTAAATGTCAAAACATATGAAATTTGGTTTATATCTATAGCAGGAAGTAACGGCATTTCTAGCGGTTATTACAATAACATTATAGACAAATGATCAAATCACAATAAAAAAAAAAAAGCAGCGCTGTGTCGTTTTTTAATGTTATCTGTGGGATTAATGATAAAATTATGTCTGCAACTATATAATGTCGGCATTCTATTCAAACAAATACATCAGTTTGACGACCATACACCACTTGTAATTTTCTAAAACGTATTGTGTTTTTATTTCAGACGATACCTCCGCTTCGTAAAAAAAAATATGAATTAAACATGGGAATAGTTGAATATGGAAAACCTACTTAGATACAGTCATTACTATCTGCATGGTAATGAAAAATAGATAAATTTTGCTATTTATGATAGTGTAATATGAGAACAGTTTTATCGCGTTTTGCAATCTATTGATTCGCGGTTTGGCGTGGTGATGATGAATTTATTATTATTATTGTTAGATTAACATCCAAACTATACATATAACACATAGCTGTATACATTTTTGTTTCTGTCCCTCAGTGATTTAAAACCCTCGCAACAACTTAGTTCATATGAATATAATTTTCAATAATGGGGGATAATGCCAAAAGTAAAAGAGAATAGAAGAGAAAAAGAAAAGATATGGATCGCAAATTGAAATTGAACAGGAAAATAATGTCGGTTTTCTTCAATCCCCCCTAACAGAAGACACAAAACTAAATGGAATACAATACAAGCGTATGCATCTATTTTTAATCAAATAATCTTCCAACAACATCTTAAACATTGTTCTAAATGAGTGATCTATTTTACGTTTAAACCTATTGATATCGCCCTTTCTGCGGTTTGAAATTCTCCCTGCGGCACCCTCTCAGTGCGTGCATGCTCTAATTGAACCTGTTTGTGTCATTCTTACTTGCAATGTATTGTGTAAATTCAAGAATGAGTTATGTGTGAACTCAGACTCATAACTGACACTGTGTTATTGGTCGACAGCGTAGTGTTGTACTTCTCGCTGAAAGGCCCGGATTAGCGCTATTTCGGTTGTAGCTATGTTTATTACCGGCTTTCCCAAAAGATGAAACTGACCACACTGGACGTTGGCTTCAAGTCTTGTCATTATCAACTACGTAAACTTTCGTTTAGGAGATAAATATATATTCAGTATCCACTTGATTTCCAGATGATCAAAAAAACCTTACTTCTCTTAATTGTCCCTTTAAGAAATTACAAAAATCACCAATCATAGTTATTCGGACCAATTGTGTTAATTTTTTAATTCATATTTTTAGGTCTTTAAAACAATAATATGGGATTCAAATGTGATTTTGATACCTGCCCATGAAGTAGAAAGGTGGCATAGAGACGCTTACACTCCTCAGCACATTCGAACGAGACATTGATGTGCATTAAAGTGAGAAAACAAATTGTTAGAGCCGGAATTGAAAACAAGGATCGGTTAGGGTACCTGAAACATGCATGTACATTTATTTTGGGCGTCTAGTTTTGTTATCACATTTTTCATATCTCTAAATGTCTAAATGTGATATACCTAGAATGTGTTTTTAGTTCTACAAGTCTACCTGGGGAAATAATCAGTCTTATAGCGAGGGTTAACATTCTATAATCAAATTCATGGGAGTGCTCAGTTATACATCATTATTTTTCTAGCGGTCAATTACTTTCCCTTTTAAATTTCTCATTATTTAATACAATCATTATTTCTATAGCTACATGTACCATACATTTTATTTTCAATTACTGGTAATGTGAATTCAGATCAGCCTTTTTTGTTAAAAAAGGGATCCCGAAAACAAATTTTACTTGTAATATGCACTTGTTCAGTACTAAATAATGCAGGTGCCCATTTCTATTAACACATGTCCCTCCTTAAAACTGTAAATGAACTAGTGTACTCCTATTCATTAAGCACTATATTGCAGGTGTTTTGTAATGGGTTAGTTTAAGAGAGAAAGGGGTATTTTGGAAATGGGTTTGTAATTTGGGAAGAATTAAGGTTAATGGCATTGTGTTTGATGGTAAAAAGATTTTCGTACTGATTTTTGTATAGGCATCATTTGAATTGGAAATTTCATTCTAGAAATGTGTCAAATTGGATAAAGCACAAAGTAAAAAAAAGTCCAACTTGCAAAGTGATGATGGCGATGCCTTTCAATGACCCCTCCAAATGTAATCTTGTTGAAATGTCGTAACATAAACATAGATAAGCATTCGTCATATGTTTATGTAAACGTGCTAAGCATAAATGCCCGTAGAAACACCACGAACAGGACAACAAATGAAAGATAGAAAAGTAATAAAAACAAAAGTCTGCATAATCCTCCATCTTAGATAAAATGGCATTTGACATTTGGCCCATTGGGCTAACACTATAGGTTTAAGGTTTTGCGTATATCGGATTGATAGCAATCCGGATAGAATTTGATCGGATGTCAAGTTTACCTACACACCGTCTAAATATATGTTGAAATCAATCTATGAAAAACTCCAGGTTCCGGAAGCATATGAACTTTTGACGCAAGGGCGTCTATTTGTTCTATGCAAGCGAATACTGAAAAAGAGTTACATGTGAAATCAAATTAAATATGGCGCCGCTGGCTTGATCATGTCCCATGTACTACCAGCTTGTTTTTTGTTTGTTAGTAGGCGAGGCCTGTTTTGCAACTGATCATTCCTCATCAAAATTATTTTTTAAATCTTCAGTCCGGAAATCTGTGAGTAAACTTTAGTGCATCATAAATGAGATAAAGCTACTGTGTTTATATGTGTAATGTCGAAAATATCGTTTCGCTAGGTCAGTTTTGACAGTCGCATAGTGCAGATCGATCTCTCTAAATGAATCACATTTATTGATGTGTTTTTTTTATTCAATTATTAGTAGGGTAAAGGTATGGTGATGGGGAATGTAAACATATTAGGTACGATAAATATATTAATTACCATTGCATGAAAGAATTTTTATTATTTTTAACAATAAATGGCATTTCTATTGGCTATTACAACAACATTATAGTCAAATCATAACTGACAAGGCAGCGCTGTGTCATTTTCAATGTTCTCTGTGGGATAAATGACACGACTAGTTATGGAATACTACACTGTTCAAACCAATAAATCAATCTGACGACTACATACCTTTTGTAATTTTGTGAAAGTATCTTGTTTTTATGTCAGACGGTACTTCCGCTTCGTAAATAAAACAAGATATGAATTAAACATGGACATTGATTTATATGGTTTAATGCTCTACACGTTATTGCGCGAACAATGCTAATGAAAAACAGATCAATTTTGCTTTTTAATTGAAATATGAAAACAGTTATATTGCATATTGCAATCAAGAGACTCACGATTTGGCATGGTGAAGATAAATGAATTATTTTTAGTGTTAAGATTAACATCATTACTTTAACTTTAATGCATAACTGTATTATTTTTTGTTTCTGTCTGTTGGTGATTTCACATCTTGCAAGACAGACAGTGGGATAAATTAGGTATATTCTGTCCCTGTACTTGTATACAAAATCAATATTATATATCAGTCATTTAAGTAAACAATTGTGCTGAAGTGATTCACCTAATCGTAATTGGAGTCTTTAAACGATGGATACGTTTTGTTTTACCTCCTCGAATTGATATGGAGGCGCTATCCTCTTTCGCAGCTGACTTTAATTTGAGTCATAAATGATGAATACGTTTTGTTTTCTCTCCTAAAGATTATATGAAAGCGATGTTCTCTGCTTTTTCCTGACCAAAAGTATAGCCTCAAACGGTGTTGATATGAAGGCGGTGTCCTCTTTGTCAGCTGATCATTATCGGAGTCTCAAACACCGCGAACAGGAAAGGAAATTAAAGACAAAAGCACAAAAGAAAAGAAGTCCAAAGTGCTTCAACAGAAGCATCATATCTGTTTTGGCTCCCGCTGTGTTCCCAAAGAAGACACCACAGTGTAAAAAGTCCGATTCCGTAGGGGGTCCCGAATTATTTGTCTATTCTGATCATGCATTGAAAAAGGATGCAATGAGGCCAGAGGATATGTTTTATTCACTTTATGCCTTTTATAAGAGTGCGCAGAATAAACACTCGATTAGCAAAGCGAGGGAGTGATCAAAGACATTGTATTGCTTACACAGATGCAACATATACACTTTCTACATATCTATTGAACGAAATAACATTTTCAATAATGAAGATATAGTTTTAAGTAATTAATAACAATCAAATAATATTTGATTATCAAAGAAAACATGTAGTTATATTTTTACAAGATTGTTTTAAAGAAATGTATTTTCATCATAATGATTATTCAAGACGAGCTTTTAGATTGTATTGCAATTCATGCTTAAACTACATTTAAATTATCTTCGTAAAATGCTCGCTAACCTCAGTATGTTTGTTTTATGAATTTGCCACTGGTTCTTTCAAAACATTAAAAAATATGAACTTGAAAATCAAATTTAATTTCAATTAGACCGGTCATTTTTTTCAACGTGGAGTAAACCATATTAATTCAAATAGATTGTTATATACTCTGTGCATTATATTCTAGTAACTACAAATGATTGCGTTTCAATTAAAAAATGCCCTTCTCTAAATACAAAAGCCACAAGAATATTTAAAAAGAATACAGTAGATAAGAAACAAGATATTACCTTCAACGAGTCCGTTGCACAGTAACCAAGTAAGGGCAATATTTTTTATCCAGCGAGAGCACCTCATCTTCATGTACGAAGCTGTAAGACAACATACGAGATACAAAAATATGACAATTTAAAGTCTTGCTAAATGTTTTCAATCCTGGGCTCTCAACTACTTATATACGGCTTACAGAGACCTTACTCGAATAACGATAACGGGTTGCGGCTACAACACACTAAGATCGGGAAAAAATCTGAATTTACGTATTTGATCTCAGAAAAGCATTTAAAAACTACGACAGGAAGTGATCCTTTGTATTCAACCGTCTAGACGAGCAACCTGTGACAACACATTTGCATATTTTGCTTAACACACACACGGCACTTTCATCACAAAGGCTGCATCATATGATAATATTGTTGTTTGACAATAAAATGGAAACAAGATGTCTGTATTTGTTTTGTGAATCGACATGTATTTACGTACGCTATCAAAGAAATTATTATTTGAATTTCATCCAGCTGGTCAAACAACCTGTTTTTATCTGCAAGCAGTCACTTTTGATGAGTTTTCACGATCCCGTTTCAAGACTCTGTGTAACGTTTTATTTTTCCGGTGTAAACGTTAGCAATAAGAGACTTAAATAAATCTGTTGCCCTCATGACAACACTAGTAACCTCGGTTTTTATTTCTTTTCATCCAGTCAAAAGGACAAACGTAGATGTATGACGTAATGTAGTATCGCTCTGTCCTTCAACAAGTTTTCAACGAAACTTCTGAACAGTTTCTGATTATATGTTCAGCAAATTATAGCAGTAGTGAGTGTTTAAAATGTGTTCATCTAAAAATATGAACATAGGGGGGCATATAACCTAGTATGCGCTTGATTGGTATGAGAGACGAACTCGTATGCATGCTATTAGGATTAGCCCTAGTGTCTGGCCTCGCCCCCGGGAAATTATGTTCAATATTCTTTTTGATTAAAATATTTTGCCAAGAATATTTTGTTGATGTTATAATAAATATGTCATGGTGTATCTGCTCAGACACTTCCATCTTACCTGTCGATATGTTACTGGAAGGGGTGTGATTCCACTTTTATATATCATCATTCACCAAACAAAATCACGCCTATGTATTTTGTTTGACTAATTGCAACCTTAACCTTGATATCAGTGGGTCACTACACAATTTTTTTCTTTGAAATTTATAACTATCGCGAAGACATGATGTCATATGTTTGTGTGTTTGTGTTTTAAAAATACATAGATTCAACATGTTGCAATGGGGGCAGCAGATACAAGTTGGTTTCTTAAAACGTTCGAAAGCAGGACATACAGACAAAAATTTAATCTTCAGGGAGTTGGGGGGTGGGGGGCACATTATTGTCTTACCTTTCATGGGATACAGCAAGGTCTATTCTTTGTTTCCCCATGCACAGAAGGCAAGGAAAATAGCATTCCCCAATTTGCAGGGGCACATGTATTCAAGAAGGATGGAGAGACAGGCATGGGAAGTCAAAATGTTTTTCTAAATATTACCGGAGGCATAATGATTATTGATATAAGTCTTGTGCGTAGAGTACATGTGTATGCTGGGGTGGTATGTTGGGTATTGGCCTCCCTGCAATATTTTGAATCTGATAATTACTGGAACTGTTTATCTTTCGTATTCGGAACTGATAAAAAAACACATCGAAAACTCCCTGCAAAATTATTATTTCATATTGTAATATATATATTCTGTTTTTTAAATAAGGCAAAAGTCATTCAATAAAGCATTATTGAAATCTTCCTTAGTTAAATGATCAATTCTTTTACACATTTTGCTTTTATTGTATTTAGATAAATCCATAATTTGATTATAAGTCCTATTAACACTTTTTATTATATGTATACATGTTGAAGTCATTTATACAATAACTATTCGGCACTGTTCAAACGACTGTACTGAATCAAGACAATACAGTTTAAGGTAAACAATTCTTAAGGTAAATTTTAAATTAATTTGACATGCCTGAATCACTTAATTTAAGTATATTTACATTTTTGTATATATATATGTATGCACCATAAACTGGTAGATTGATTCCCAGTACCGTTTGAATGTTCGTCATTGCATGGATGCGTAGGTGTAACTAACTACCTTACAGCATACCGAGATATTATCATTGATCATGTTTATTAATAGCGGAATTTACATCAGCTTGATCAATTGATAAATCGTCTTTATAAACATGTCAGATCAGCATCTTAACCTACGTTCTTATAATTTCCAGATTATCATTACAAATGATCGCACATGTAAATTTAAAAAGAGTCTATTTTGCAAAGATCAGATGCAAAATTAACGCCAAAATCCGTGTAAGATAACAAAGTTAAAAAAAATGATTCTGGTCGTAAACATGTTTTTTTATTATCGTTATTAGTTTTGATTATTGAAAAGAAATGTTAATATTTCCCACCTCTGCATGTTTCCATAAGAGGCGGTTTATGTGGGAGGCAGAACAGATGGTTTCATCGGTGTCTTCTACCGATGGAACAAAGAAGAAACAAAAATGAATCTGCAATTTCTCTTTTTTTAATCTCCCCTGTTCTCTTATCTTTCCGGTGGTGTCTGTCTAAGCAACCTCTTCTAGTTAACGAAACTGTTACAAGGACGTTAAACCACATCAAAGCAAAACCAACCGATCATTAAATATTCCGTGTATATTAGATGAATTTAATAACCATAAAATACTAACTGAAAGATGGATCCTCATTGGTTTGATCATTATCACGCGATTTGTGATAAAAACTCGGTGTTATTATTTTGTAGAAACAGCAGGTAAATTTTCCTTTATGACGTCAGTTCAATTGCATCGTCACAATGCTCCCTGCCAAATGCAGTACTTTCCTCCGTGCAATTTTAATACGTTTCATCTTGTTTGATGATTAAAACATTATTTATAATCTAATGTAACAATCAAAGACTTTTATTTCGATAAGTATGCGTAAATATAGACCTGCTAAAGTGATATTGACCTCAACTTCATCGCAGGTCAATACTAGTTTCTAAGGTTATATAACTGCACGTTCACCTCAACAAAAGTCCATAATTGGTCAATAAAATTTCAATATAAGGACGAAGTGTAAGGTGTGAAACTTTATTTATAATCCGGAAAGGGTATATTAACATTGTAAATAAGTTAAAAAAAAATGCCATTTCCGCAAAATGTCACGACATCTTATCCAATCACATTAAGTGTAATTTAAATATAAGTCTTCCTTTACCATTACATTGCAAAATGATGAGATCCAGGGAAATAACGGTGCATAAGTAGAAATAGCAAAGTTAAAATCAAATAAACGGTCGAACAGTAAAAGCAATCAACATCATCAAAAGCAGTAAGCATGTAGGATGGTTGGCTTTTCAAATTAGCAAATCGGGTTCTTTGATAAACAAAACAAAAAAAAATAGTTATGTGGCTCTGGCCCTTTGAGAAAACTTCAAAAGGGAACTGTCATCTGATTTGTGTCATTGATTTTGGTTTGGTTTTATTTTGTTTAACGTCCTATTAACAGCTAAGGTCATTTAAATACGGCCTCCCCTGTGTGCAAGATGCATGCGTGTAGTGTATGCGTGTGTGTATTTTGGGAGGCTGCGATGTGTTCGTGTTTGTCTCCTTATGATAGCGCGAAACTGATGCCTTCCTCTCTAAAACATACTGCCGAAGACACCCAGCAGGACACCCCACCCGGTCACATTATACTGACGATAGGCAAACCAGTCGTCCCACTCCTAATTTGCTGAGCGTTAAGCAGGAGTAGAAAGTACCATTTTTAAAGACTTTGGTATGCCTCGGCCAGGGACAGAACCCAAAGCACTCCTCACAGGGGCGAACGCTCAACAAATGGCCAAAAGTGAGACATTGTCAAGGGAGACATTAGGAAGAAGAAAGTTATTTAGAAAGGAGAGAAGAGATGAGGTCCCAAATTTAGTCGCCTCTTACGATCATGCAATTGTGAGGCAGCAGGTACAATTCTTACGCCCTACCTGCAGGGAACATTGTGTCATTGATGATAACAAGGTACAGCAAGCAAATGTAGCTTTAGGCATCCACATTTGGAGGCGCAGTAGTCGAGTGGTAGGACGCCGGGCTCGTGACCGAAGGGTTGCGCGTTCGATTCACGTCACGGCACTGTGTTGCATCGTTGGGCAAGATACTTTACTCCGCTTGTTCCAGTCTACTCAGCTGTAATCATGGACGCGGTTGGGCAATGCTAGAATTGTTGAATGCTAGCTGTGAGCGCGAAAAATGGCAGCACCGGCTGTATGCTCCCCATGGCGTTGAGAAAGATATTGGCTGGTTGCAAAGACCCTATAATCACGGATAATAACTCAGAACCGCTTTGAGGCGACCTACGAACTAGGTTGTGATAAAGCGGCATATAAGAACCTCGAATTATTATTATTGTTATCCGCATCTATGCAAGCCATTCACAGCAAGGCAAATCATACGACATAGTCAACAGAAAAGAATATACTTCCTGACTGTCTTTTGTTTACACAGAGATAAAAATATGAAATAGTGGCTGTACTCACCAACAAAATAAAACAAAAAATCTACTTTCTTTTTCTCTAGTGTTTTCTTGTAAACGTTCTCTACGTTCCCATTTTACCGTAGTTTTCTCGATTTTGAGTTCAAAGTATGGCTTTGTTGATGCTTCTGTGTTCCGCAGTAATTGTTTATCATTTTTGGACCAATGTTTACATATTAAATGCTGGTATATCTTCTGCAGTAGAAAACATATTTTTTCTTGACATGGTTCCATGTTAGCACAACCACTTTCTTACCAGTATTCAGCAGCGGGACACTGTAAGACCTTGTGTTAATTGCTATGACGATTGCTATTTCATAATCTTTAGTGTATAGATTACTTAAAACAGAATGGTCCAGCCGGCATCATTACAAATGTTATTGATCAACTAGTGTATTGTTATTTGTAAGTTACTAAATAACATGAAATCCACTGTTTCTATTGTGGCGAGGTTTTAATTCTGAACAAAACACTCGTGCAGGTTCGGGAAAAACATAACGCTGTATCTTACTGCAAAATTGCAAGAAAAGACTTATGTAGTGTACTCCCTGCTACGTTCGGGGTTCTCTTCCTAATTTTTCTTCTTAAAAG